CAAGCTCACAACCTAAGAGAAAGTGAAAGCTGAGTGGAAGGGGAAGAGGAGAGTTCTTTGACCTGAAAGAATCTGAAAAGAAAATGGGGGCAAATTAATCCTGAAAAATATTAAATCTAATTTAGGACAAACCTAAAAATGAGATAGAAAGAGTATAGAAAAGAAAATTTCCATTTTTATTGAAATGCAAATTTGTAGTGGTAGAAAAACTGGGCAGATAGCCAATGATAGTTCCAAAGATGTCCCTTAGAAACAAAATTTAAATATGAAAAGCAGATGCCTATTTATGAGGGAAAAAGGCAAGGGAGTCTTAGCCAAATCAAATTCCCACAGGAAGCACAGACTAAAGGGCTGTCTCTCCTCCCTCTGCCTCTACAGGGGAAAAGGTGGCCTTACGGCTATTGTCTCTATTCTCGTTAGTAATCAGCACCCAGACTAGGAAGTAGCTTTTTAAAAAATTAATACCATAATCTTCCTTTGTTTCTAAAAATTTGAGGTTATAGAATGTATTCTTGGCAGCACTGACTTTAATTATCAAGAAAACACACTAATTTACTGTTTAAAAAAAATCTCTAAAATATATCTTTTAAAAATAGCGTGATATGGGGCTGGAGAGATGGTTCAGTGGTTAAAAGCACTGACTGCTCTTGCAGACGACCTGGATTCGGTTCCCAGCACTCACATGGTGGCTATGAACCGTTCGTAACTCCAGTTCCAGGGGATCTGACACCCTCTTTTAACCTCCATAGGCACTGCATGACACGGGTGCACCTACCTAGAAGCAGGCAATACACTCATACACATAAAATAAAAATAATAAGAAAAAAATTTTTAAGTAAAAGAAAATTTGAAATGGAAAACTACTAGCTTAAGTATTAATTTACCTTTTTGCCCTGTTTGGTTTCAGACAAGGTTTCATGTAATCCAGGCTGGTTTCAAACTCACATACTACATATAGCCCAGGTTATTTTCAAACTCTTGATCCTGCTAGGATTACAGGTAGGCACCACCACACTCAGCTAGACATTGAATATTTATATTTGATTGATGTTTCATTCTCCAGCAGAAGCTAAGACCTCACGCATGCTAAGGAAGTGCTCCACTACTGAACTATACCTACACACCATACATTATTTGTGCATGTGCATGTACGTATATATACATGTTTGTGTGTGTGCAGATGCATGTGCAGTGTGTGCATGAAGGCCAGAGAACAACCTTGAGTGTCATTCCTCAGGTGCTGTCCACCTTTTTTTTGGTCTTTTTGAGACAGGATCTCCCTGTAGTCCCAGTTGTCCTGGAACTCACTATGTAGACCAGGCTGGCCTTGAACTCACAGAGATCCACCTGCCTCTGCCTCCCAAGTGCTGGGATTAAAGGCGTGCGCTGACCTATAATTCATCAAGTAGGGTAGGCTGATGATGGCCAGTGAGCCCCAGAGAACCTCCTATCTCTGCCTCCCTAGCTAAATGTAAGCCACCACCATGCCTGGCTTTTTAAAAGTCAGTTCTAGGGCCAGGCATGGTGGCACACATCTTTAACCGGCCAGGAGAGAGGAAGAGAGGGGAGGAGAGGAAAGGGAAGGAAAGAAAGAAAACAGGTTCTGGGGATCAAAAAGTACTGAAAAAGAGGGTTGAAGAGATGATGATCCAATGATGGTTCAGTGGTCAGCCCCGGATTTGATTCCCAACATCCACATGACGGTTAATAACCATCTTCTGACATCCATGGGCATTGCACACCATGTGGTACACCTACATATATATGCAGGCAAAACACTCATATACATAAAATTAAAATAAAATCTTTAAAAAAAATAAAGTGCTGACAGCTGGGTGTGTTTGCTCATACCACCTTTAATCCCAGCACTATGGAGGCAGGGGCAGGTGGAGCTCTGTGAAATTGAGGCCGGTCTGGTCTATAGAACAAGTTCCAGGCCAGCTGGGGCTACAGGGAATCCCCGTCTCAAAAAACAGAAATCAATAAATCAGTAACAAATAAATGTTATCTATGCAAAAAATTTCAGGAGTAGGGACAAAAGCCGGACAGCTTAAGACAGCAAGCGGTCTCCTTCTCTTCACTCATTCTTCTTTGTTCATTTTCCTTGACCTTTAGCTCTTTCCAAGACAGAAGTATCTGTAGCCAGAGTGACCCTGGGGGCAAACCAGCCATCTACTGTCAAAGTTCATCTGTCAGAACCTCTTGCTCCTTACAGAGGGAACAGATGTTGAGGATGTAGATTTGTTGTAAACCAGGAAGCACAACTGGTGAACACACTGCTTGACTGGCAGAAGCAAATCTCTCATCTGCGTACACATGGGATTTGTATCATTGGATGAGGCTGGAAGGCAGAAACTGTGCTGGAAGTGACTGCCATGTCACCTCCAATTTTCCCTTCTAAATTGTAATTTGCCTTTACACACTTGTGTGTGTGTGTGTGAGAGAGAGAGAGAGAGACAGAGACAGAGACAGAGACAGAGACAGAGAGATGTGGATTAAAGCCAGGGTCATACACAGGCTTAAGCGAGTGCTCTACCTAAGCTATATTCCTAGCCAGTAACAGCTAGTATCAACAAAGACCACAACCCGAGTAAATACATTGCACTAATAATTTTACTATTGGTTAGTGTTTTTTTTTTAAAGTTTTATTTAATTTTATGTATTTACTGTGTTGTGTGTGGATGCATGGGTGCCTTAGAGTGGAGGTTGGAAGACAACTCTGGAATTGGTTGTCTTCTTCCCCAGCACAGGCCACAGGTGGGAAGTGCTGAGCCATCTCACCAGCCCTAGAGTTCATTTTAGCTGAAAATCATTTTACCAGTAAAATAAGCCTTTTGTAGTTTGTTGGTTTTTGTTGTTTTTTGGTCTTTTTGAGACAGGGTCTCCCTGTATCCCTAGCTGGACTGGCCTCCATTTCACAAAAATCCACCTGCCTCTGCCTCCCTAATGCTGGGATTAAAGGTGTGTGCCACCACATCTGTGCTTTTTTTTTTTTTTTTGAGATTGGTCATGAATGTAGGTACCTACAGAGGTCAGATCCCCTGGAGTGAGTTGTGAGCCAGGACTTGGGTCCTGGGAATCAAACTTGGGTCCTATGGAAGAGCAATACATGTTCTTAACTGCTGAGGCAGCCCCAAATACTTCCTCTTAGACCAATTTATGCTATGAGTTTTAGGACAATGTTCTATGCATAGTGCATAATTAAGCATTTCTTGATGCTACAAAGCTGACTGTGGAAAGGTCAAGAAAGTAAGTACAACTTGAGGGTCTTAGTATACCTGCCAGGAGACTATGAAAAAATCAGTCCATTTACATGTATCTTACAGGCCTCTCTAGAAAGGAGTAACTTCACTAATTTTTCTAAGAAATTCCTTTGACTAGGGGATCCTTCCAGACCTAGATCTCTTAATTTTGAGCCATTATTCTTGTCTCCTAAACTGGTAAGTCAGCTTTAGCTGAATTGATCAGTCCTTTCAAACTGTACACTCTCTAAACCAAATGATATATATATATACTAATATTTGCCAACATTTTTTGAATACTAATGTGCTATTCCTTAGATGAACCCTGAAACTATTAAGTGAAAGAAGCCAGTCACATCTCTGCTCAATGAGTCCAAAATAGCTGCCTGTAGAGACAGAAAATGTAATTGTAGTTGTCTGCAGCTGGGAAGAGTTAAGTAGATCATTTCCTTTTGAGGTGCAGTGTAAGTATACTAGATTATTTACTTCAAATGAGTGACTTCTCTGGTATGTGAATTCTATCTCCATATAAACACATATTTAGTAAGCCCATCTGACTAAATCTAAAAAGTTAACAATGCCCTTAAATATTCCCTAAGCATCTCCAGGACACAGGTTGCAGGCAGCACCATTTGGTTTCTGATCAGTCTGGCCAAGAGGCAGATCATGGGTGGGAAAACCAAGCACCAAATGTAACCCTCCTCCAACCTCCAACCACCTTTCTTCTCATGTCTCGCCCTGTTCTAGTCACATCAATTAGTTCTAGTCCTATCAATTAGTCATATCAACAATAACCCAGGATCATGCTTAATACTTTTCGCCATACTTTTGGCCTTTTGTGTGTGTGTAAGGGGATTCTGGGTATTGAACCCAGAGCTTTTAAACACACTAAGCAAGTGTTCTACCATTCAGTAAGCGAATGAGCAATATCCTTAATCCAGGCTTATCTTATTGTGAAATCCTTTCCTTCAATCAAGACTAAGCATAGGACCTAGATATGTAGATCCAGGGTTTGATCTCCAGCACAGTGAAAGAAAAGGAAGGGAGGAAAGAAAGGAAAAGAGGGCTGGGGAGATCGATCAGGGTAAAGTACTTAATGCACAAGTCTAAGAACTTGAGTTTGGATTCCCAGCACCCACATAAAAGCCAGCATTGGGGGAGCAGCAAAAAGGTAGATCCTGGGGGCTTGCTGGCCAAAGCGTCAAGCTCCAGGCTTATTCCCACTGTCCTTTCATTAAAAAAAAAAAACAAAAAAACAAAAAAACAAAACAAAAAACCATGGGCCTGGAAGGCTGGAAGGGTAGTATGTTTTCCAAACATGTCAAAAGCTGAATGCAAGTTAATAAGCAAAAACAGTGTAGTAAGCATTACAGAGGGCTCCTAACCAGGCCAAAGTGGTTAGGAGAAAAGCAGGATGAAAGGTGCTGCTTAGGAAGAAACTGGGTACTTCAAAGATCTGACTGGGGTTGTCAGAAAGGAGTCTGACCAGCAGTAGGGCGGATGGCAGCAGACAGAAGGGTGCTTGCCACTGTGTTGTCAGAACCGAGTGGAGATGATGCGTACAATAAGAATGCAAGGAAAAAGATGCCGCTTAAAGGAACAGGAGTAGGGTCACCCTCTCCTGCCTTACAGCACAATTCACCCTTTGCCTTTCCTTCATCCTCATCTCTACCCTTAGCTGCTACTTTGAGGATCAGTAACAGAAGATAAGGTAAGCTTGGTATATATGCCCTGGCTTCATTCCAAGTTACACACACACTGTTTTATCTTTTTATTTTCAAAACATTATGGTATTAAATAAAGTCCAAGAGGTATTGGGTTGGTCTTTGGTCTCTAGCACTTTAGATGGTCCAGACTGAGCCCACAGGAATACGAGTGATCATTTCACAAATCTAGTAGTTACTACTTGATGGTGCACGTTAAGTTACAGGGTGTTCATATCCCAAATGTGGCAAGGCATGTGCTCTAGCTCTTACAGAACAGGTGTTGAAACAAACTGCTCTTAGAAGGCAACTGAACAAGAGGACCGGCTATCAAGATGGTCTGGTGGGAGAACACGGGTAAGTGAACGGACAGGGATCTTCCTCACTTCTTTCTGCTTCTACATAAGGGCGGCAATAAGGGGCCAGAATAGATAGCTATTTGGATCCCATCAGGGAAGCAATAGACCACTCCAAAGCAGATTAACTGGCAGGGTCAGAGAGTGGAATACTGTCCATAAGAATGAAGACAAACTCTTCCAATTTCTTTGCAGCTTGTTTCCCAGCCTCTAGGACTTCCTTGTGATTGGCCTTTTCCAAGTTTTCATAATCCATGATGACCTTGTTAGTGATGAGCGAGAAGCCAAAGACACGAAGTCCACAGTGTCGTGCAACTATAACCTCTGGTACTGTGCTCATACCTGATGGAGAAAGAGGAAGACCCACAGGTAACTTTTTTCCTCCCCCTTTAGTCTCACTGTCATTCTAGGTTCACCAGCTCTCAAAAGGCATCCAAGAAGCAACTAAATTACTGTTGGACTTAGGCCACCCTATATCTCTTCCATTAGCCTTACAAGTTTCTCATCAGTTTTGCCAATACAATTTATTTCTGTTATTTGTGGTAATTTAGAAGTTCTAATGACACAGGTTCAGAAGGTGGTTAGGCTGATATTCGTTAGGATTCTTATGAATAGTCAAATAGTCTCTGGGGGGGCTTTGCCCAGCCTCGCTGGTTTCTCTTAGTCTGTGATCTCCTCCCCATGGCTCCTTCACCAGAGCCCTCCCTCAAACCTCCACTCAAATCCCCTCCTCACCAACAGCATCTGCCCCCAACTCCTTCAGCAGACGACACTCTGCCACAGTCTCAAAGCTGGGGCCGGCCAACATCACGTAGGTGCCTTCCTGTAGCTCTCGCTGCTGCCCCATCTGTCTCCAGGCACTGAAAGCCTTCTGCCTCATACTCCGGTCATAAGCATCAGACATGGCAGGGAAGCGAACTCCAAACCTAGAACACAAGTTGGAAGATCTCAGATAAATGGCATTAAGTGAGCTTTCCCCTGACTCCTGCACAAGTCCCTAAACCCAATGCATCTAGAAGCAAAGGGTCAAGATACACACCTTTCATCATTGGGGCCTTGGAGAGGGTTTTGACCACAGAAACCAGGTAGGTTGATGTGATCACGGATCAGCATGATATCTCCAACTTCAAAATCGGGGTTGAGCCCTCCAGCTGCATTGGTGACCACCAAAGTGTCCACACCCAGAAGTCGGAAAACCCTCACTGGAAATGTCACCTTAGAGGCAAAAGATCAGAAGAATTAAAACTTTACCAATTTACCTATAAAGACATGCATAATATACACCATGAAAGATGAAATAAGACCCAAACTCCACTTAGTCCAAATAATTAGGCAATAAAAACAATTCTCCCTATCTTCTTCCAAATTCGACCAGGCCCGTGCCCCTGATTTACCTTCCACAGTGGGTATCCTTCATACATGTGGAACCTGCCCTGCATCATCACACAAGCTCTGCCATTCAGGATCCCAAACACCAGTCGACCAGCATGACCTTGTACTGCATAGAAAAAAAGAAATTACACATTCATGCAACACATACCAGTAGCACTTGCCAGAGCCATCCACTGTGTTTACCATGTGACGATACAGTTAAACAAAAGATATTAGAAATCTGGTGAACAGGAGGCTAGAGATGACGCAGTGGTCCACAGCACTGGCTGCTCTTGCACATGGTGGTTAACAAACTTCTGTAACAGTTCCAGGGGATCTGGCCTCTGCAAGCATTGCATGTGTGGGTGCCCATATACATGTATTCACTCATATATTTTCCAAATTCTTAAAATATGTCTATTAATCATCTTAACTAAACTATATGCCTCCTCTTTTCTTTTTTTTCTTTTTTTTTTTTTTGGTGTTTTTGAGACAGGATCTCCCTGTAGGCCCAGCTGGCCTGGAACTCACTACGTAGACCAGGCTGGCCTCAAACTCACAGAGATCCACCTGCCTCTGCCTCCTGGGTGCTGGGATTAAAGGCATGCACCATCATGCCAGGCTATGCCTCCTCATTTCAGCTAGGAAGTTATGGTATATGCTGGCACCCTAAAGATGTGGGCCCTAAACAAGGGAGAAAGGTTGGAGAGGTGGCTCAGTAGTTAACAGCACTGGCTGCTCTTGCAGAGGATGTGGGTTTGGCTCCCAGGATCCACATAGCAGCTAAGAATTGTCCATATCTCCAGATCCAGAGGATTGCATGACCTCTTCTGGCCTTGCCAGCACTGGGAGCATGTGGCATACTTAGAAAAATGCAAGCAAGCTAAGGATGTAGTTCAGTTGCTGGAAAAATTCAGGCAAAACACTTCTACACATAAAATAAAAATAAGGGACTGGAGAGATGGCTCAGCAGTTAAGAGCACTGGGTGCTCTTGCAGAGGACCCTGGTTTGGTTCCCAGCATCTACATGGAGGCTAATAACCATCCATAACTTCAGTTCTAGGGGATCTGATGCCCTCTTTTGACCTCCAAGGGCACTGCATTACAGGGGTACACTAACATACATGTAGGCAACACACTCATACACATGCCACCACACCCAGCATGATCCATGGTTATTTAAGAAGAAATTAAAGGCATGTGCTACCATGCCTGGCTTCCTAAAGGGTTTGTAAATATGTATTAGAAGTTCAAAGTACACTGGGAAAGAAGAAGATAGAAATCCAAAAATCTAATAAATAAATCAAGGCAAGTTAGTTATTTAGAAACCCTTTGTCCTATTCACTTGGCCGTTTTCTAAATCTTAAGAGTTTCCTGGTTGCTATCAGAATGCTCGATGTGGACTTGAGATGTCACAGCTCCATGGTACACGAGGACTATGGGTCCCTTTCCCCTTCCAAAGGCTCAGTGTGACTCAGGCCTTGTGCTCTCCTGTAATAATCCATGTCCATGTGTCTTGTAGAACATGGCTGTTAGTGTGCTTCTTGTTGCAGTGTATCAGTCTGGGCCTGCAGGTGGAGCTGGGGATGGACAATAGTAGGAAGACTGGCAACAGGCCTGCCTTTGTCCCAGGAGCTAGAGGTACTGCCTTTTCTGGTGGAAATGAAAGTGTGGGTGTGTGTATGATGTATGGAAGGAGGTACATGGGAGGAAGATGCTGTAAGAGCTCAGAGTCAGTTAAGCAAAGAAAACATGTGATCTCATTGACAAGCACGACTGGTCCACTGTGGAACTTCTTTTTCCATATTTGGTGTTTTTAGATGAGTTTCCCTATAGCCCAAACTGGCCTGAACCAGACTGACCTTGAACTCACAGAGATCCACGAAGCCTCCCGAGTGCTGGGATTAAAGGTGCGTACCACCACGCCCAGCCTCTATTTATTTTTTTACATTTACTTATTTAGTGTGTGTGTGTGTGTGTTTGTGTACACATGCCATAGCATTGTATGTGGAGGTCCGAGGACAATTTGCATGAGTTAATTCTCTCTTCCACCATGTGAGCCCCAGGGTTTGAACTCAGAACATCAGGTTTGGTGGCAAGTGCCTTTACCCACTGAACCATCTCTCCAACCCCAGTGTAGAATTTCAATCAGGGAAATTTCTTTCTAAACTCATTCTGTTTCCTGGTAGTCTTAAGACATTTATCTTTGGTCAAAGGTTAGGACCAAGAGTAGAAACATTACAGCCCAGGATTCCGGAGGCAGAGGTAGGTGGATCTCTGTGAGATCATCTGGTCTACATAGCAAGTTTCAGGCCAGCTGGGACTACAGGAAGACCCTGACCCATTAAAAAAAAAAAAGAGTGGAAACACTGGCCTCCTTGATTGAACCCCACAGAAGCGAAACATCCCTCAGTTCTAGCCACTGCTTTCGCTTGCCAGTACCTGTGCTTTGGGGAAAGTTGGGTATCTCACTGTAGTCAAAGGTCTGGGCCTCAGTTAATTTATCAGTCAGCCCTCCTAACCCAGAACCGCAGATCACTGCCACTTGAGGTCGGTGCTCAGTTCGAGACAGAAGCCACTCTGCAGTGTTTTGATAATCTTCATATGTGAATCTAGGGATAAAAGAAAGACCAAAGTGATTTCTCCTATTCCAAAGACACGGACAGGCAAGAGTCTCAACTCAGAAAACCTGGCAGGTATTCTAAGAGGACTGAGAGGACAGCCCAGAGAGAAGTCACCATGTTTACCCACCCACTTACCCTTCTCTGTTTTGCCTTAGGCCCACTGAAAGTCCATGCGAAACACCCCTCCTTTGAGAGTATGACAAAAGTTAATGATGCCTATTTCCACTAACACCTCCAACTCAGTGTTCTGATTGTGTGCTCCCCTCCCCGCCACCAGGAGGATTCAACCCTCTCCTTATGACAGAAATAAAGAACCAGAGGTTCCAAGAGTGTCATGAAATAACCAAATCAAGGAGAGTAAGACCAAAAGGAGCACTTCTTTAAGGCCTTCCTGAAGCCAAGTGACAAACCTAGCTTTCAACAATCTTTCAACTCCCTAAGGACAGTCAAAATGTGATCAACACTGCCTTAAAAGCAAATCATTATCCAGCTCCTTGGCCAACCAACACCAAAGAAACTAAATTTTTTGTCTGTTTCTGTCTCTTCTTCACGATACTCATCTCCATCTCAGGGTCTTGTTTTTATTTGTTTTTTGTTTGAGATAGGGTCTTCTATGTTGCCTAAGCTCCAACTCTGGGGCATCAGTGATCCTCATTAAAGCCTGACACTTGAGGAGCCTAAGGCAGCTCTTCAGATGAATTTTTTTTTTCATTTAAAATTACACTTATTTTAGTGGGTGTATGTAGGTCAAAGGACAACTTTCCTGAGTTAGCTCTCTCCTTCAACCAAGTGGGTCTGGGAATGGAACTCAGGTCATCAGGCTTCACAGCATGCACCCAGACAAGAGACAGGGGGATCTCTGTGAATTCAAAGACAGCCTGATTTACACAGTAAGTCCCAGGCCAGCCAGGGCTACATAGGGAGACCCAGTCTCAGAAAAACAAAAAACCCAACAACCCCTGGCCAAACTTATTAAGAAGCTCCAAAAAACCACATTACACAGTTCATAAACCTTTCTCCTGCTTCCTTCCACCTGACCTCCTCCTGCCCCTCCTCTCCCTCCGATCTACTCATCTTTCCTTTTCTCCACAGTAAGGCACTTTGTCCTTTAAAGAGCTCAGAGCAACTTACACTTACTCATAAACCCTGTATAGTAGCAAGAATCAATTCATGCTTCCTCACAGTCCCAAGTCCATGTCCATCACACTCAACTGGAAAGATCAAAGATTGCTCCCAGAGGTAGAACTGAGGTGTCGGGAATTGAACACAAGTAAAAATGCCCCCACAGAGAATTTTTCTTCCAGCAGAGCCTAGAGGCAGGGCACACAATTACAAACACCTAAAACCCCAGCCACACGGCAGAGCTCACACATCAGGATAACTTGAGCCCAGCCTGGGCACATAGTGAAACTTTGTCACACACTAGTACTTTATAGGAAACCAAACAGGATAACCACACAACAGGTTACCCTCGGGAAAGTAGCTAGCTAGGTAATGGGTTGGGGGGTGGGGGAAGACAATGGAGCCACAGGGTAAAGAGAAGAAATTAAGTCGTAAAGAACTTAATGAAATTGCATCCCCAAGAGGCAAAAGTCTGGGGCCAAGGCCACCTGGTCACATCTAGCCACAAAAGCGGGCAGTAATCCCTATAGCTCCGCTGCTAAATCGAGCCGGGAATCCCAGAAGCAGGGAGAGGGAAGGGATTTTCTGATTCGGGGTGGGAAGGAGTGAGTAGGTGTTGCGCAGCTCAGAGAATAAAAATCTCCTAACCTTACAGACTCTACGCAACCGGCTAATGGTACCTCCAATTTGGAGGGAAGGGTGGAGCTGACAGGGGAAGTGAGCAATTTCCCTCTACGGAAGAACTGCGGCTTGCGCAACAGAAATACTGGGCTTGCCTAGAGCCCAGGATGGAACCGAGCATGTGGCGTGGGCCTCCCTTCCACCTGCCCGGCTTCGCAGAGGTAGGCAGTTCCTGGCAGAGGCCTAGCCTGCACTACCTGCTCCTTCCTGCTCCGCCGCCACCACGGCTCGGTTCCCGCGCGAGCCCTGCCCCCCCGCCCCGCCCCATACCGGCACCCCGAGCAGCCGCCCGGCTCGGTACCAGGCTCTCCTCATCCCTCTCGCGTCCAGACTGCCAAGCCCCCGGGTCCCGGCGACGCTCACCCGTTCTCCATGGTGGGACGGCGAGGCTGACTCCGCGCCGGGCCCAGCTGCAGGGCTGGTCCACACGGTTGTGCTCAATGCTCGGCGCTGGCTTATATCCCGAGCCCGGGAGCCGCCGGCCAATGGCAGCAGAGCACGCGGGCCAGCCCGTCGCCATGGTGACACACCCTCAGGCAACCGACTCGAGGCAGGGCTGGAACCTCACCGGGCTCTTTCCGGAGCCAGCCTCCCCGGTCCGGGCTCTTGGCTGTTCTCCCCTGCGCCCCCGATTCTCCAGGTCGGCCAAAGCAGGAGGCCCCGCGGGAGGCCCGGATCGGGTCAGCCGGAACCGCCCACTGCAGCTCGGCTCCCGGCTGTGGCGCAGAAACCCGAAGAAAGTGAAAGAACGTCTCGGACCGCGCAGATCTGCCCCACTAGATCTGACTAGGGGACCTGCGAAGGGGGAGGAAGAGGGCCTTGCGGATGGCGGAGCTGACCGGGCGGGGGCGGTTGGGGAAAAGACACCCAGGTCCAGATGGGGAGAAGAAAAGTTCTAGGACAAGAGTTCTCGAATCCCACCACCCGGATGGCGACAGGTTAGAGGAGGTCCTGGGTCCAAGCAGTTCCTCTCACCAGAGAACCAAGATGGAAATTGGCGTAACAGAATCACACCTTCGCACAGAATACACAGTGCAACACTTCGGTAAGCAGTTTTTTCTCCCCCAGCACATCAAGGGCCCGCGCGCAACCCCTTGGGACCCTCTAGCTGACCCTCCAGAACAGTCTGTCCCGCTTGCCATTTTTGAAACCACGATAGCTCAAAACACTGTTTTCCAATCCTATTTTTCTCATTCACTTAAGAATTATTTATTGATGGGGCTGGAGAGATGGCTCAGCGGTTAAGAACACTTGCTGTTCCTCCAGAGAACCCCGGCCAACAACCATCCAGTTCCAGGGGATCCGACACCCCCTTCTGGTCGCTTGAGCACAACATGGGTGCACTTACATACATGCATACATGTGAGATGAAGGCCAGCCTATTCTACAAAGTGACTTCCAGGCCAGCCAGGCCTACATAGTGAGATTCCAGGCCAGGTGAGACCTGGTCTCAAAAGAAAAGAAAAAAGAAAAGAAAAGAAAAGAAAAGAAGGAAGGGGAAGGGGAAGGGGAAGGGGAAGGGAAGGGAGAAAGGAAGAAAGGAAAGGAAAAGAAAAGAGAAAATCTTTTCACTGAGCATCAACTATGCATAAGAGTTTTTTAACAGTAGGGTGTGGCAGCCCACATCTGTAATCCCAGCACTGTGAAGGCTAAGGCAGAAAGATTGAGGTTGAAGCCAGCCTGTGCTACATAATAGTCTAGTCTGTGCTATTCTTCCCCCTCCAAAAAAAAAAGCCCAAGGAAATATGTATTAATATTTAATATTTTATTGCTCTTTAAAGTCCCAAATTACCCCCTCTCATTTCCTTTTCTATGCTATTTTTCCACAGTACTTACTTTTTATTTTTTTATTTGTAATTTTTAAAAACTATTGTTGGCGGATCCTGCATCCGCCGTCTAGTGTCAGCCGCAAAAAAAAAAAATTAGTGTCATTAGTGTCATGATTTTTTTTTTTTTTTTTTTTTTTTTTTTTTTTTTTTTTTTTACAGTTTTTTAACTCAACCTCCAAAATGCAGGATTATGGCCAGGCACCACCATGCCTGGCCTGAACAATTTTTCATTGTTTGAGACAGGGTCTCACTGTGTAGCCCTGGTGGCCTGAAACTTGATATGTAGATTAGGCTGGACTCAAATTCACCGAGATCCATCTGCTTCTGCCCCACCTCACCAACCCAATGCTGGCATTAAAGGCGTGTGCCACTACACCTGGCTTTAATTTCTTCTTAAACAACCACAGGTAAAGTTGGGTGTGGTGGCATACACCTTTAATCCCAGCACTCAGAAGGCAGAGGCAGGCAGCCTGGTCTACATTGTGAGTTCCAGGCCAGCTGGGGCAGGGAGATCCTGTCTCAAAAAGACTAAAAATGAAAAAATGAAACAAGACAAACAACAACAAAGAAAAAAATCCAAAAATACTCCCTTCATTTCCTGTTCCATGCTATTTTTTCCACAGTACTTACTTTTTATCAGTGGGATCTCCTAAAACCAGCTTTGCAAAGATAGGTTGTCATCAAAATGAATGTAGCACAATCTAGTGTTCAAACTTGAATGATCTCAAGCTAATAATCTATACAGTATACAAGAACTAGCAATATTACTGTTTCTTTTGAAGTTTAAAAATATTCTGGAGCTGAGGGCATATCTCGGTGTTGAGTACTTTCCTAGCATGCATGAGGCCCTGGGTGTGTGTGTCCCACACTCACATGTGCACATGTACCCTACCCAGCATGGTGGCACTGGCCTGTGGTCCCAGCTTTGGAAGGCTGAAGCAAAAGGATCACTTTTGCCCAGTAGTTTGAGACCAGCCTGAGCAACATAGTGAGAATCCATCTCAAATAAATAACTAAAGGTGTGGGGGCACACACCTTTAATCCCAGCACTTGGGAGGCACAGGCAGGTGGATCTCTGTGAGTTCAAGGCCAGCCTGGTCTACATACTGATTTCAGGTCAGCTGGGGCTACAGGGTGACCCTGTCTCAAAAAAAAATTATATATATATTATATATATATATATAACATATACTTTGGGTAACTGCCCACCCCACAGGTTTGGATGGTGCACAAACTTTGAGAACCATGGTCTCAGCCACTTCATGTAATCTCATTCCTGAATTATGCAATAGAAATGAATAGGCTCTGTAATCAAACTACCTATATACGAATTCTATTTCTACCCTATTGCTTACCAACTCTGTCATCCGTCCCAAATAAAATTCCTGTGCCTCAACTTTCTAATTTGAAAAATGATGACAGTAATTATATGCCACTGTTGCAAGCATCATATAAAATACCAGTTAAGTGTTTGGACAAGCAGCCGGCATTATAATTATAATAAACACACAGTAAATGTTACTTTTTCCATTGTCTCTTTTTAATCTTTTGATATTCACCTAACCATAAAAGAAAAGGCAAAGAAAATCAGTGGTGCATTTAGCCTATCATCATCAATTAGAATCCCAAACTACTCAAAATAGCTACATTTGGCTATTCACACTTAATAACATTAAGATAATATAAAAGTAAAAATGTAGTTCCCTAGTCATACTAACTGTTCCAACTGCTTGTAGTCACATGTGGCTAGGCTACTATATTGCATAAACTGGAAGTGTTTCTATTACCACAGGAAGTTCCACTCTGCAGCAACCCCAACCCCTATCTTTTCTAATTGCTGCTACCCTGGACCCATAAAAGAAACTGGAATTGTATTTTATTCTTTACATTAAGGTAAAGTAATGATATTTTAAGGGTTCCTACAACCAAGAACTAAACAGTCATCAACTTTAGGATGATTATAGGTTATTACTGCCTGCTAAACTCGCCCTGTCTTACCCTTTATCTTCTATCAGAAGGACTTTTGTGTCTGGGTACATTGTTGGTAACATGCCCCTCCTTCACCAGCAAGATTAGGGAGACTGAAAAACAGAAGTTCTAAGTTTCTGAGTATTGCCTTGTGGAATGAGGAAGTATTTTCACTTAGTGGTTCTCAGTGCCAACCATCATAAAAGCAGACTCAGCTTCTGTAAGTCTGTAAGAGTTCTTATAGAAGAATCTCAAGGGCTGGGGATGTAACTCAATTCATAGTGTCTACCTGTCTTGCATGAAGCCCTAGGTTCAATCCTCAGCATCGCATAAAACTGGACATGGCTCATGTCTGATCCCAGCACGTATGAAGTGGAGATAGGAGATTCAGATGTTCAAGGTTACCCTTGGCTACATAAAGGATGGAAGCTAGCCTGGGCTATATAAAACCCTGTCTCAAAAAAAAAAAAAAAAAAAGAAAGAAAGAAAGAAAACATAACAAAAAGCTGCCAAATCTCTAGGTTCTTTGGGATCTTCGGGAGGGGATCTGTTTAATACTTGCTATCTCAAATGTGATCTCTCATTCTCTCCAGCCACAAACTGGACTTCTCTCCATTTGAAATATTCACCCCACCACCACCAGTATTTGACCTATCTTCTCCAATGACTGAAATTAAAATGTTACTTTATTTTGCTATTAGTATCACTCTTGTTTCTTTCAGTTCCATTTCATTTCTCCACTTATGACTCACTTAAGTGGCAGAAATAACAGAACGGAGATTCCAGACCTTCAGTTTCAAAGAGATGGCTCCCAGAGAGAGGGTCACTACTTCCTAAAAGGCAAAGAACTGGGGGCTCAGGAAAGATGTAGAACACAAGGGAGTGAAAGCCCAGTATAATTCCCCTGTCCACCTAACCCTATCCAACCCCATCATCTGGGCTAACTCGCTCTGCACATAACTAAAAGCATTCTTTATTCTGGAAATGAAGTAAAAGACTGTGTTATTTTTGCAGATGTAATAAACTACTAACTCAAAGAAAAAAGAGTGTGTGGAGCACATGGAAAAATCAAATAAAATTGGAAAACTGAGTGACGGAAGCCAGCAGTTGCTGTGCCTGCTCTGCTCATGTGACCCATGTACTGTCACTACCAGGGTAGAAAGCTAAAGAAAAAAATGCTTATACTTTCTTTTCTTACACCTTCCTGTTATGTTTATTATTTTTATCTGTTTTATCTTTCCTTTTATGGGCCGAATTGTACTCCCCTCAAATTGATATATTGAAACCCACTTCCAATATATTTGAGGATGACCCCTCCTTACCCTCACTCCCCCCACCCCCAACTTGTTCACCCTCCCAACACCTTACTGAAGACCTTATGCATGCTGGGCATGCATCCTACTACTGAACTATATCCCCAGCCCTTTTTTTAATTTTTAATTTTTGTTTTTTTAAATAATTTTTTGTTTTGTTTTTTTAGACAGGTTCTTCCTTATAGAGCCAGCTGACCTGGAACTTGCTATGGAGACTAGGCTGGCCTTGATTTCACAGAGATCCACTGCTTCTGCATCCTGAATGCTGGGATTAAAGCTCTTTGATTTTTGAGATACAGTCTCACTAAGTTGCCCAGGTTGGCCTTAGATGTAGTATGAAGCCCAAACAAACCTTAAACTTGCCGTCCTCCTGCCTCAGCCTTTCAAGTCTTGCCACCAGTCCCAACTTAAAGTGGTAATTAAGGTTAGATAAGATCACAAAGGGGGAGGGGCTCTTAGATAACAGAGGCTGCCCCTGTAGGTGGGATCAGGCACATCTCATTCCCTACCTAATACTTTCCATAAACTGCTAAACTCATAGCAAGTAACAGCCCCACGGTATGGGCTAGAGGATTAACTTCCTAAATTACTGTTTTATAGCAGATTTAACACCTTCACTAATCTGCTAAACTCAGATCCTTTCTCTCTAAACTCAGAGACCTCTCTCCCTCCTAAAGTCTATAAATGTAAGGAATTTCCTTTATTCTGTGGGTTGCTGTTGGATCTCCTATCTGATTTCCCTGAGGTGAGTGGCCAGCGTTATTAAAGGACCTGATTACATTAAATCCGTCTTGGCAAATCTCTCTACTAAACGTAGAAAGACTAATTATTATTGGGGCTGCAGAGATGGCTCAGCGGTTCAATTCCTAGCATCCACATAGCAGCTAACACCCATTTGTAACTCCAGTTCCAGGGAATCCCACACCTTCTTACGTCCTCTGTGGGCATTGCACGACTAGGGTGCACTTAAGCAGTATGCAGGCAATATACACATAAAAAAATTAAAAAATTTTTAAACAGCCATTATGCTCTCCAGGCTACAGGACATAGGTCCCAGAGACACGGCTAAACGCACCAAGGTCCGGACCATGAAATACAGGACCCGCTATGGAGCCTCCCCCTGGAAAACGGTGAGGAAGGTTGAAATCAGCCACCACGCCAGGTAAATTTGCTCCTTCTGTGCTCCTTCTGAGGCAGGACCAAGAGGAAGAGACCGACTGTTGGCATCCGGCACTGTGGCTCCTGCATGAAAACAGTGGCTGGCGGATCCTGGGCTTACGGCCACCACTTCTGCGGCACGGTCAAGTCTGACATCAGAAGGCTGAAGGAACTGAAAGACCAGTAGACGCGCTGCCGTTTGGGATATCCCTAGCCCACAATAAATGGATTAATGTATGTAACAAAAAAATTCAATTATTTAGAACAGGGCCATGGGGGCTAAAGCGATGACTCAGCAGTTAAGAGCACTGGCTGCTCTTGTAGAGACCTGGGTTTGGTTCCCAGCACCCACATGGTGGCTAACAAACAAATGTTAACTCCAGTCTGATGCCCTCTTCTGGACTCTGTGGGCATTGCATGACATGGGTGGGTACACTTCCATATATGCAGCCAAAATACTCATATACATGAAAAAAAATTAAAAATAATAAAAAAAAATTTCGAGAGGCTGGAGAGAGTCCTCGGTCATTAAGAGCACTGCTTGCTCTTGCAGAAAACCCAGATTTGATTCCCAGCACCCATATGGTAGCTAACAACCTACCATAACTCTAGTTCTAGGGGCTCCAATGCTCTTCTGGCCTCCAAGGGCATTGCATGCATATGGTGCACTTACATACATGCAGGCAAAACACTCATACGTATAAAATTAAAATAAAAATGTTGGGGTTTTTTTTTTGCTTATTTGTAACAATATGTATGTATGTATGTATGTACGTATTGTATTATACACATTTTTAATTTCATGTATATGGGGGAGGATATGTGCATGTGAATGCAGGTTCCTCTGGAGTTCAGAAGAGGATGTTAGATTTCCTGGAGTTGCAGTTGGAGGCAGCCATGAGCCCAGCCCCCTGGGTGCTGGGAACTGAACTTGGGCCCTCTGCAAGAGCAGTATGCACTCTTAACCACTGAGCCACCTCTTCAGCCCATAGCAGCGGTCTTAGAAGAAAACAGTCTGGAGAGATGGCACAGCACTTGCGTATATACTGCTCTTCCAGAGGATCTGAGTTCAATTCTCAGCACCCACATCAGGAAGCTTACAATTGCCTATAAGTCCAAGTCCAGGGAATTATGTGCCTCTAGCCTCCAAAGGCACCTGCATTTACATGTGTGCCCGTGAGTGTTCACACACACATAATTAAAACATAATAAAAATAAGTCTCTAAAAAAACCCAACAAGGTAGATTCTTGAGGAGGGATGATGCCTGAGAACTGACATCCATGGTGTGCCTACATTCACACTTGCACAAATGTGCACACACACAAACACAAAAGTGCACACAAGCATATGAAATAAATTTTTTGATGCTCAAGTACAATTTTATTAAACAGAAAATCCCAGGGCAGGTGTAGATACCCAATTCTTAAACACTACAAAACACATAGAAAGCTCATTATCACATTAGTTAGGAGTTGACTAGACTTTATTCAAGGACATGGAGACTTGCTTCAAGACTAAATGTAAAAAACAAACTCCCTTAGTTTTTGTTTAAAAGCATACATGCACAAAACACCACCCCCAACATTCCAGGGAGACAGTCAGTCTAAGGAAGTTTAACCCTAGGGGCACTGGGTGCCCTAATCCCTAAGGGAAAAACAACGCTACAGGTAGGCAAGCTGCAAATCTCAGCAGCTGCCTGGAGGAGGAGAATGGAGGGGTGAAGGGAAAAAGCCATACTGTTTTAGGCTGGCATGGAGGTCAGACAGGACAGCAGGCACCACATTGCAGAAAGGGGGCTTTCGGGAAAGAGTAAGGAAGCCCAAAGCACCAGAGAAAACATGTTTAGGCTCTGTCCGGCATTCAAAGGAGACAGAAATGAAGATAAAGTATGAAAGGTGGGTAAACCCAAAAGAACCTCATGGTGGCTGGCTGGGACAGCCCGAATAAATTTTTTAAGAAAGTATACTTTATTAAATCAGGTCTGGTGCACAAGCCTGTAGTCCAGCTATTTGGGAGGTGCGGGCAAGAGGATCAGGAATTCAATATGTTCTATATAGTGCTTATCCTCCACTATTTAGAAAGTTCCAGGCCAGCCTGAGCTACATGAGACCTAGTCTCAAAAAGAAATACATAAAAAAGGAAATGTACATACCTATGTAGAGACACACACATATACACATAAAAAAAAAAAAACTATTAAAAAAGGAACGAGCCAGGCATAGTGGTGCACACCTTTGGTCCCAGCACTTAGGAGGCAGAGGCAGGCAAATCTCTGAGTTCAAGGCCAGCCTGGTCTACACAGAGAGTTCCAGGACAGCTGGGGCTACAGGGAGACCCTGTCTCGAAGGACCAAAAAATAAATAAATAAATAAATAGGAACAAATGAGCTTTAACTGTGAGAAAATGAGAAATATCATTACTTTTCGCAGTTCTCTGCCTACTGACCTATTCAAATAACCCAATTTCAAGTTACTCATGCATAATAACATATATTTTCTTTCTCTCTCTCTCTCTCTCTCTCTCTCTCTCTCTCTCTCTCTCTCTATATATATATATATATATATATATATATATATCTCCTGAGACAGGGTCTTGCTATGTAGCCCTGCTCGTCTTGGAACTCAATATGTAGACCAGGCTGGCCTTGAACTCACGGTGACCCACTAGCCTCTGCCTTCTGTGCGCTGGGATTAAATATGTCACCACTGTCTATCCCAAACTTTTTCTTTCTATTTTTAAAGACCTCCCTGGCTGTTCTGGCTAGATAGAAATGCTCTCTTTCTTGTTGTCCTTGTTTAGTTTTGTTTTTGATACAGGGTCCTATGAGCCCAGGCTAGTCTCCAACTCTCTATGTGGTTGAGGATAAACTTGAATTTCTGATGCTACTCACCCTTCTGAGCACTGGGACCATAGTCATGCCATCATGTTGGGTTTAAGTAATGCTGGAGATTGAACTTGGGGTTTGTGCATGCTAGGCATGCAAGCTACCAACTCAGCCACATCCCCAATCCTCTTTTTTTTTCCTTAAATTTGAATTAAATGGTTCAATTTATTTATTAGGAAGCATCTATGCTGTGCTATGAATTTCTAGCATTTGATTTTTTTTCCCCACATAAAAGATTACCAGTGTTGACATTTTATGCTATCAATGTTTATACTATTGCTCCCCTACCCGGGTATTTATTTATTTTATTTATTTATTGGTCTTTTTGAGACAGGGTCTCCCTGTAGCCCCAGCTGTCCTGGAACTCACTATGTAGACCAGGCTGGCCTTGAACTTACAGAGATCCACCTGCCTCTGCCTCCCAAGGGCTGGGATTACAGGTGTGTGCCACCATGCCCAGTGGTATGTTTCTTTTTTAAAAAAAAAACATTTTAATTACTTTTATGTGTCTATGTGTGTTGCCTGTATGTATGTAAGTGCACCCAATGTCATGCAGTGCCCATGGAGGACAGAAGAAGATATCAGATCCCCAGGAACTGGAGTTATGGACAGTTGTTAGCTGCCATGTGGGTGCTAGGATCTGAACCCAGATCTTCTCCAAGAACAGCCAGTGGTCCTAAACCACTGAGCCATCTCTCCAGCCCCGGGCATAAGTTTCTTAAGGCATATCTTTTACAAAGAGCAGATATGCAGTAAGTATCTGCAGATATATTGATTACTGAATAAATTGAAACTATGGCCACTGGGGCTGAGGTGGTGGTGGGGTATAACATTGTAGAGCAGTTGCCTAGCATGCATGATGCCATCAGTTTGATCTCCGAAGAGACAGAGAAGGAGAGAAGGGTGAGGAGGAGAAAAGAGAACGGGGCATGAGAAGGGAGGGGAGGGAAGAAGGGAGGGGAGGAAAGAGAAGGGAGTGTAGAAAAAGGAGTAAAAGAAAAAGGAAAACTATGTAACTCCCATCAAGGGAAGGGAAGTTGTCACAGGGTGCACTGGCGCACGCCTTTAATCCCAGCACTCGGGAGCCAGAGGCAGGTGGATCTCTGTGAGTTCAAGGGAGACTCTGTCTCAAAAAGACAAAAAAGGGAAGGGAAGTTAAGCTAGATGTGGTGATGCATGCCTGTGATCCCAGCACTGGAAAGGCTGAGGCAGGATCATCAAGAGGTGACTAGCCTGGGCTTACTATGGTTCTTACCCTGTGTCAAAAACATACACACACACATACATACATATACATATGTATGTATGTATCTATATATGTATGAGACACAGAGAGAGAGAGAGAGAGAGAGAGAGAGAGAGAGAGAGAGAGAGAGAGAGAGAGAGACTGCCTAGTTTCCCACACTGAATGTAGGCAGGCGTGATGGTGCTGGTACTGCAGCCTAGGTCTATTGCAGTCTTGCAGCTTCTCACTTAGCCCTCTTGCATTCTGGAGCACCACCATGCTCTAAAGGTGAGGCCATCTCAAGCCACTGAGTTATTTCGAGTCTTCTGACTGATGGTCATGAAGAAGCCCAAGTGAGACGGTAAAGAATCACGCACTGAATACCACAGAACAGGAGAAGAACGTATCACTGTTGGGGACTGTTTATCACCAGCAGATGAATAAAGGCTAGAACTATTCCTATGTTGATAATGTTTTCTTCTGTTACTTTGATGACCCTTCTCACAAATGACCTTGTATTCTGAGCTTTAAATTCTGACCACACTATTTGGTCCACTTGAGGGAAAGATAGAATTTATTGATCTTGGCTTCCCTTAGAATGCTGTGCTCAGAACTGGAGGCAGTGTTAGATCAAGACACCCGCCTAGAGGGGACTAGCCACACATTATATACTTCTAGTACCTTCCCTAAACTGCTACTCTGCTAGCATTTTGCAATGCCAAGGTACTGTGGGACAATAGGATCATCCTGAATTTCAACCTTTTATCCTACCTGATACCGTCACCAATCTTCTAAACTTGGAACTCCTCCTTTCTAATTTCAGAGGCCTCTCTTTAAAGTCTAAAGGTAAGGAATTTCCTTTGTTCTGTGGTTTGCTGTTGAATCTCCTACCCCAGCTTCTTCTGTGGGTGGCTGGCAGAAGTAAAGGACCAGCTTCCCTGAAATCCCTCCCAGGGTATCTCTGTACCAAACCTAAAAAGAACCTTCATCATTTAAAACAGTGATGACTCTGTTTTCAGGTAGTTTGGGCAGTAAACAGTGCTTACTGCTCTGGCAGAGGCCCAGGGTTTGCTTCCCAGTACCCACACAGGGATTCACAACTGCCTGTAACTCCAGTTCGAGGAGAAGTGAAGCCCTCTTCTGGACTCTGTGGGCTCCTGCATGCATATAGTGCATATAAACTCATTCAGTCACACACACACAAATATACATATAATAATAAATCTTTTTTTTAAGATAGGAATTTTTTATAACCTGGCTTTATACTAAGAGTACTTATAGAGCCACTACACTTCTCTTAACCCTTCCCACACCATATAGGTGGAGGTTAGTTTTAAGATTTAAAGAAAAAAAAAAGGTGTGTATAGAGGGGTATCTAAACTGGGTTTTGTGGCTCAAGCCTGTACTCACAGCATTCAGAAGGGGAAGGCAACAGGGTCATTAGTTCCAGGGTAGCCTGGGCCATGTGGACACATCCTGTCTCAGAAAACAACACAAGCCAGGCACAATGGTGCATGCCTTTAATCCTAGCACTCCGGAGGCAGAGGCAGGCTGATCTCTGTGAGTTCAAGGCCAGCCTGGTCTACATAGTGAGTTCAGGTCAGCTGGAACTACAGGGAGACCCTGTCTCAAAATGCCAAAAAAAAAAAAAAAAAGAAAGAAAGAAAGAAAAAGAAAACAACAGAAAAAGATGTAGAAAGGTATACTCATGGATTCACCCATCATACTTTCCCTCAACACTTTGCATACCTGTTAGAGGACACATCCTTCCTACTGGCCTACATTTAATTTCTAGTCATGAAAAACATCCCTATATTTAACCTATAGTAAAAACATCAACTACAGGCCAAAACTACAAATGAATGAATGAATACTAAATCATAAATAACCATTCTACTCATTTGTCCCCTGGGCCCCTTATTGCATAGAGTATGCAATGTATTCTCTCTCTACTCTTTTTTTTTTTGGGGGGGGGGTAAAGGTGTGTATGTGTGTGTAGGTGATAAATATGAAATCCAGGCATAAAGTGTGCTAGGCAAGTGCTCTTCTACTGAGCTATATCCCTAAATCTACTCTTTACATTTTTATACAGACAGAACCATATTTAAGTGATCATCAAGTACAACTGTGAGGATGGAAGTTGGGGTTTTATGTATAACCAGGGTGCAAATAATAAAGTTGACCCCAACCTCAGAGTGAATACTTGAGAATCTCTGTGCTGCAAACATCAAGAGCAGCAAACTAGCCTGTCCTCCTGCAGAGCTATAACCCTTTTCTCATTTTGCGTCGAGGTTTTTATTTCTTGAATGTGTATTGGAGAGTGATGGACCTCTTGTTTAAGGACCTCACTGATGACAGAAGCTGACCTGGGAAAATTGCATTAAAAAAAAAAAAAAATCAGAACCTACAGCCAGACATGGTTTCTCATGCCTTTAATCTGAAAACCAGGGAGGAGGGGGGCTTACCATGAATTCAAGGCTAGCCTCACTTAAGAGTGAGAGTGTTTCAAAACAAAGATCCAAAGCAAAAAATAACTTCCATTAACAGCCTCTGGCTGAGGACAAAATCAAGCAAAGTCTAAAAACTTCCATCTACCAAACGTGATTAAAATAGCTTGGGCTTTGATTCACCTGTTCAACCAACCAACTCTTGTGTATGTATCTTAAGGGTCATTGTACATAAACTGAGTTAAACAATGAGCGCTGCAAGGGTGAGACACTCATAATTTTCCTTCCAGTAGTGTAGACTTGTTAAAGCAATAATTTTACAGCCATACATAGCAGCAAACACTTGTAATCACAGTTACCCAGGAGGCTTTGGCAGAACCACCAAGTTCCTGGCCCGGACCTTGTCTCAAAATTTAAAGAGTGGGGCTGGAGAGATGGCTCAGCGATTAAGAACTGGTTGTTCTTACAGAAGACCGGGGTTCGAATCCCAGCACCCACATGGCAGCTAACAACCGTAACTCCAGTCCCAGGGGATCCAACAGCCTCTTCTGACCTTCCCCGGCATTGCACCACACATGCAGGTACACTTACCTACATGCAGGCAATATGCGTAGGTGCATTTACCTACATGCAGGCAATACACACACACACACGCACACACACACACACACACACATAAAATATTTTTTTTTTTAATTTAAAAAGGACTGGGAATGTTGCATAGCACTTTCCTAGCACATGTGAGCCCTGGGTTCAATTCTCGATTTAATGATCAGCCGGGCACGGTAACCCACTCCTTTAATCCTAGCAGTCAGGCGGCAGAGAGGCAAGTGCGTCTCTGAGATGATAACAAGCATATGCACTATTCTAGTTGAACAGTCTAGGGACTCAGGGACTCTAGCCAAAGCTGAACTCCTGATCCTCCTGGCTCCATCTTTCCAAGTACTGGGATGACAGCCCTATGCTACCACGTCTAGCCCTGGAATATGGGGGAGGGGTTTGTGTGTATGTATGTGTGGGGGTGGGAGTGTATGCTACAAGTGTGAAGGCCCTCTGAGGCCAGAAGAGGGAACGCTATCCCTTGGAGCTGGAGACCATTGTAGCCACCCTGAGGGTGCTGGGAATGGAACTTGGGTCCTCTGGAAGCGTACAACCGACTCAACCACTAAGCCATACCCTCCAGGCCACTTGCTTTCTGTTTTTTTCTCCTCCGGGGTGTCTCGCTATTTCTGAGGCTGGCCTAGGAGTCCCTGTCTTTTCCCGCATCCTCCCCGGGGCTGTGCTCACATCCCATGCCCGCTCCTCACGCTGGCTATTCACTGTGGAGCTGGAGAATGCACCCTGGATCTTGCGAACCGAGGCCTTCCAAAGCAGGCCTAGGAGTTACAATACCGGGGAACACCGCAGACGTGGTGGCGCACAGCTTGAACCCAGCACTTGGGATCCCTGTGAGTTCAAGAACAGCCTTGACCCGCACGTTCCCGTGCTAAGTTTGGGTCAATAGAATTGCGTCCCAAGGATCACAGGACCAGGAAAGGAGGCCAGCAGCCAATAGGAAGCCAGCACTCACACAGGCCCAGAGACCGACAGCTCACGCGACCCTCCTGGCGCACGGCACCGCGCACCGCTCCCACACACGTGACCTCCCGCCGGCGTAGCGCGATGGCCTCGCTTCCAATGGCTCGCTGGACATCTGGTCACGTGCGGCATTCGCAAGCTCAGCCGCTCCGGTCCGGTCATGTGATAGTGACGTGACGAGTCACTCCCCAATGAGGAAGGGACGCTGCCTCACAGACGGGGAACTGCTTTTCCTCGGCCAATGACGGCACGAAGGGGCGGGGCCACGAGTCACGTGGGCGGGGGTGGGGTGGTGCTGGCTGCCGGCAGGCGCGGCGCACGGTGCGCATGCGCCCTGGGGACCCGGTGGCGGCGGCGGCGGCGGGAGCTAGTAGGTGGCCGAGCGGGAGGCGCCATGGCGGCGGACGGAGAGCGCTCCCCGCTGCTGTCCGAGCCCGGAGACGGCGGCGCTGGCGGCAACGGCCTGGTGGGCCCGGGCGGGAGCGGCGCCGGTCCCGGCGGAGGCCTGACCCCCTCCGCACCTCCCTACGGAGCCGGTAAACATGCCCCGCCCCAGGGTAAGCCGGCGATGCGAGGTGCGCCGGGGCCTCGGCGGGGCGGGCCGGGCTGGGGGCGGAGTCAGGCCCCGGCGCCAGGTGCGACTCCGGCACCTGTCATGGGCGAGGCTTCCTTCCTCCGCTGCCGCAGAGCCTGGAGCGAAGGGGGTCGGAGAAGCCCGCCGAGCTCGGGCTGCAGGGCCTGCATCCGTGTAGCATCCGTGGGGAGTGTCTGCAAGTGATCCCGTTTTGTCTGCTTCCTCTTCAGCGTTTCCCCCGTTCCCGGAGGGGCATCCAGCCGTGTTGCCCGGAGAGGACCCACCCCCCTACTCACCCCTGACTAGCCCGGATAGTGGGAATGCCCCCATGATCACCTGTCGCGTCTGTCAGTCTCTGATCAACGTGGAAGGCAAGATGCATCAGCACGTAGTCAAATGTGGCGTCTGCAATGAAGCCACCGTGAGTGACACCTATCTACAAGATGGGCCTTGTTTCCTGGATCCGTTTTCTGATTCTAGACCCCGACCAGGGGCTCTTCATGAAAGCCAGTTTCAGTTCCTCAGAAGCCATTCAAGCTGACGTTCAGCCCTCACCTTCACACCTTTCCTGGATCCTTAAGTGTAGTAGTTCTGGTTGACAGATTTTCTTGTTGCTTCTGGGTTTTGTATCTGGGGGCTCTTTTGTTTCCTGAGACAGTCCATGACCCAGGCTCACCCTGCAGTCTCTTCTGTGTGCTGGAATTCCAGACGTGAGCCACTGTGCTGGCAGCAATTGCATAGGTCGTCTGTCTCATTTTTCCTTCCTCAGTAGTGTTCTTGAAGAGAAATGGAAGGGATTGGGATTACAGGTTTGCTCGCTGATTATCCTTTGTTCTCTAGCCAATCAAGAATGCACCCCCAGGGAAGAAGTATGTCCGATGCCCCTGCAACTGTCTCCTTATCTGCAAGGTGACGTCCCAGCGGATTGCCTGCCCTCGGCCCTACTGGTAAGAGACATGAGGTGGGGAAGGCCATACTTGGGATTCCTCTGGCTGGGCAAGGTGGTGCATAGTACAATCCCAGCACTTGAGAGGTGGCAGTGGAAATACTCTGGAGCACCTTGCGTGCCTGATTCTTTTCACAACTCCCAAGTGCTGGGATTACGGACATGTGTCATTACTCCTGGCCAGAATTAAGAACTTTTAAAAACAGTCTTTTTCTCCTGTATAGTAAAAGAATCATCAACCTAGGACCTGTGCATCCAGGACCTTTGAGTCCAGAACCACAGCCAGGGGGTGTCAGGGTCATCTGTGGACATTGCAAGAACACTTTTCTGGTGAGGAGGGATGTTGGGAAACCCTGGAGGAGGCAAGTACTAGGAACAATAATGAATCCTGGAAGCCTGTCCTCTTTTCTCATCTCTCGCCCTCCCCCCATCTCATGGTTCTCACTGCCTAGGACTTTCCTTTCTAGACTTGTTTCTTTTTCTTCCTCTGTAGTGGGCAGAATTCACAGACAGAACCTTGGCACGTTGCCCTCACTGCAGGAAAGTGTAAGTGGTTAGGAACTGCACTGGTAATGGGTAATGTGTGGCATAAAACCAACAAGGCTGTACCAAATGTTAATCTCCTTTGGTTTCCCACAGGTCATCTATTGGGCGCAGATATCCTCGGAAGAGATGTATTTGCTGCTTCTTGCTTGGTTTACTCTTGGCTGTCACTGCCACTGGCCTTGCTGTGAGTAGTTTCGATGCAACTCCCTTCATTTATCAGTGATTTGAAAAACTGGTGCCCTAAAAATTGGTGAAAGAGCTGGACACAAAAATTGGTTATGTGCCTGCAGTCCAAGAGCTAGCATTTCTAGGCTAGCTCAGGCAATATAGCAGGATCAAAGCAAAGGGATTCGCAGTATGTCTTAGTTGGTAAGAGTGTTTGCCTAGCATTCATGAAACTCTAGGTTCAGCCTCCTGCACCATACAAACCAGGCTTAGTGATACACATCTATGGACCCAGCACTTAGGAGGTATAGGCAGGGGACCAGAGTTGAGTCATCTTCAGCTAAACAAATTTGGTGCCAACTCAGGCTACATGAGACCCTACGTTAAAAAAACAAGTGAAAGAATCTAATGTAAGATAGAGTTGAACTAAAGTTGAAGGTGACTGCCAGGCATGGTGGCGCACACCTTTAATCCCAGCACTTGGGAGGCAGAGGCAGGTGGATCTCTGTGAGTTCAAGGCCAGCCTGGTCTACATAGTGAGTTCCAGGGCAGCTTGGGCTGCAGGGAGACCCTGTCTTAAAAAGACCGAAGGGAAAAAAAAAAAAAAAAGTTAAAGGTGACCAATGAACGGTCCGTATTGGCACAAAATGTAAAAGTAGCTGTCTCATCTCTGTAGAGGACATTGGAGAAAGGCTTAAATTGAATTATTAGGAATCCTGGTTCATTTGTCAGAATTAAGATATGACAGATGCCTGGGAGGGCAAGAGTACTTCCTGGATAAGGGAAGGGAGCTAAACCACCTGATCTTTGGAAAGTTCTCTGAAAGTGGTTATGAATAGATAGGCAACAGGGACTGAAGCTTGCATTGTTTCTAAGACTTCTAGGCAGTAGTGAGACATCAGAAGTAACCATCTTTTTCTTCTTCATCATCTATCAGTTTGGCACATGGGAGCATGCACAGCAGTATGGAGGTATCTACGCAGCCTGGGCATTTGTCATTTTGTTGGCTGTTCTCTGTTTGGGCCGGGCCCTTTATTGGGCCTGTATGAAGGTCAGCCATCCTGTCCAGAACTTCTCCTGAGCTTCTCTATCCAGTGTGTGCCTGGCGGCAACAGTGACACTACAAAAGAACTGGGGTTAAAGGCTCCCTGGACTTCTACAAGGAAGCCAAGCAGCTGCCTCCTTTTCCCTGGGGAGAAGTAGGAAGGAACCAGTCCCTCACTTAGGTTTGGAAGGGTAGATGAGACCATTGCTGGCTGGCTGCTTTTTCCTCCAGGTGTTGCTATGTTTAGGGTAAAATAGGCAAAACATTGCCCCTAAACCTGGATCCTAAAAATGGTTCTAGCCATGTCCTTCCTATATGTGCTCCCTGAAAACCATTCCTGTCCCTTACACATTCCAGGGCAGGGTGGGGGTGGGACGTCCTGGGGGCCGGGGGTGTTCCCCTCCCTCCTGTGCATCATTAGGACCTTGCTGCTGCTATTGCACTTCACCAGGGGCTGACTCTGGCCGCAGTACCCTCAGTCTCTTCTCCCCACATTTCGTGGCTTGTGGGGTGGGGTCAGCCGCTGCTCTGTACAGAACTACAGGAATTGATGTGTATATAACTATTTAATGTGGGGTATGTCCCCTAGTCTTGTATGTCCCTTAATCCTTCCAACTTTCCTTACTTCCAGTTGCAGTACTGAACTGGGCTGGTGTAGGGTTGCTGTGTCTTGGGAGAGGTCAGGGATTCATCTGTGCTTGTAAATAAATGTCATGACTAAAACTTTTCTAGTTAATTTCCAGATAAAGTGTGTGTATGAGAAGATGAAAAGGGATTTGTAACTTCACAAGGGAAAACACACATAACAAAGTGGAAACTATGGCCTTTTATTTTTACTTGGCTTGTTTAAAGGAAGTCATCAGGTTTTAATGTTTCAAAGGGAGAGGGACATACATGAAAACAATTAACTTTCGGCTTAAAAGAAACCTAAGTGTTATGGGAGCCTGGTTGAAGAACTGGTTAAGAAGAGAAATACACTGGATTTCTCTAGAAAGCTCTGAAAAGTTCACTGGGGGGAGAGTATATTTCCCAGGCTCAAAGTGATATGGGGAGGGGGGTGTTCACAGTGCTAGATACAGGGTGATGGGACAGTGATCACTGCCAAGAGCCTTGGAACGGATCTTGCTGTCACACAATGCAGGTAGGAGAGAGTGGGACAGCAGGAAGTAATCAAGGCGCCAGCCAACATTCTTAGACCTAGCATTCATCATGTAAGTCCAAAAAGTGTAAGCATAGGCAGTGTTGGGGTAGAGGTGCCGAAAGCTGTCGGCCAGTGGTACCTCTTGCAGCAATTCACCGAAACCTTGCCGCTCTTGGGGAGTGAAGCCAGCGTTCTTTTTGTTTCCTTTGGGGTTACGAAGATCAATTTCTTCATGAGCCACATTGAGGTCCCCACATAGCACAAGGGGCTTACGGGAAGCCAAGCCCTTCAGAAACTTTCTGAAGGCTTCATCCCAGCTCTGCCGGTACTCCAGTCTCACCAGACCACGGCCTGCATTAGGTACATAGGCTGTGACCAGCACAAATGACTCAAATTCAGCCACAATCACCCGGCCTTCTTGATCATGTTCTTCCTCACCTATAGAAATAAACTGAGGATCAGCATAACAGAACCAGAAAAGGAAAAGCATAGAACAAAGGGATAAACATCAGGGCGGGGGCAGTATTAACTGTGAAAAGCTTAGACGTTAGGAACCAACAGTCTCACCAATGCCATAGGACACTTTGAGTGGGCACTGGCGGGAAAGTAGACCCACACCACTATATCCTTCTTTGTCGGAGGGAGCTGACCAGTACTGATGAGAAAGTCCAGGCAGCTCTTGAAGTTCAGCTGGTAGTTTGTTTTCTGAACATTTCGTCTCTTGGAGGCACAGGATATCTGGGGCTTCTTCCTTCACCCACTGAATGAAAAACCTGGAAGGTTACCAACTTGGCAGGCTTTTAGTGAACAACTTCATGTGCACATAACCATCCCTGTGCATAAGTAGCAGGACAATTATAAATCATGCATTTGTAATTTGAAGAATGTCTTTAAATGATGTACTAAGGACACTATTTCTTCTACAACCAGTGGATAACTAACAGTATTGGTTGTTTTTTAAGATTTTTTTTATTTATGTGAATGTGAGTGTATAGTACAAGTGTGCAGGTGCCCATGGAGGCCAGAAGAGGACATCAGATCCCCTGGAGCTTGAGTTACAGGCCTTATGAGCCATCCCAGGGGGTGATGGGCACCCAACCTGGGTCCTCTGAAGAGAAGCAAGTGACGTCTGCACTATCCCTCAGCTTAGAACTTAGTATCAGATGGGGGATATGCTAGAGCTAGAATGAAGTCCTGGAAACCGGCTTTTGCAACTTTCTCGGGAAGAGGAAAAGGTACTTCACGAGGGGATTGTAATGGAATTGAAGGAAGGGATAGATATTTAGGTAACAGTCGATGAACCATCCCACTAGAAAACTACAGGCCAGAGATAAGTAACATCCTGGCGGCTGAAATCAGGTGACGCACCCCGGGATCAGGCTGTCAAATCCCCTCAACTGTACTCACATCTAAACCTTTCTTCTTAATCCAGGCTCGAAGCCCGTCCACATTCCAGGAGCATATCTTGATTGTAGCGGATTTGCCACTGGGCGAGGTTTTCTGATCTGGAGGGTCCTCATACAGAACTGCGCCGTCTCCTGTCGCCTCTTTCTCGTTTTTCTTTGCTCCCACCTTACTCTTCTTGGTCTCTGGCTCTGTAAAAGCGAGTTAACAGTGATACAAGCTGGCGGTTTCCAACCCCAATCCAGAGTTATCTCTAGGCCCAAGCGCACCTCTGCTGCCCTGACTTCTCAAACACCTGCACAAATAACTTGGCCTCTCTACCTTTCACGGTGGTTAGAAACACCCATGCGCAGTTCGCAAGGACAGGAAGGAGTTCAGTGCAACTCCCTTACCCCGCTGGGGCTCTTCCCCGTCTTCGGCCGCCACTCTCTTTTTCCCACGCTTTGGCATCCCTGTGACGAAAGACGTCCGGCGCCTGGACCACGCCGCGAACCGAAGTAGCGTTTTTACTACGTTGCCTACAGACGAAAAGAAAAGTCAAGTCCACGAGGAGAGGAACGAGCCTCGCTCCTCAAGCGGTCCCACGCCTCCTGCCGCCATTCGGTCCTGACTTCCCGCACCTCCCGGCCCCGCCGCGCGGTCCAAACTGCAGCATGCCCGCATCGGTGCCCGCCCCAGCCGCGGCGTGGACACCGAACCCACTAGAACAAGCTTTACTCAACCTCCGGGCGCAGCCAAGAATCCCCACCAAGCACAAAGAACCGAGAGCGCCCGTCCCCACGTGGGCGGCTGGCGTGGTCACGTGACCCGAGAGCCCACGTGGCCTCGGGGCACGGTAATTGGTTGGCACGGCACCACGTGACAGAGGCCCCCTGGCTTGGCGCTCCCGCGGCGCCGGAAGGTCCCGAGTCTCGGTTCTCGGGCTGTTCTCGGTGCTGCCGGTTCCCGAGGATCCCGAGTCGGGGGCGGCCGAGCTCCCAGGCTGCGGGTGCAGTGCGGCCCGCCATGCCCGCCGTGCTGGGGTTCGAAGGCAGCGCCAACAAGATCGGCGTGGGCGTGGTACGCGACGGCCTCGTGCTGGCGAACCCGCGGCGCACCTACATCACCGCCCCGGGCACAGGTGAGCGGCCGCGGCCGGGACTGGGCTTCTCCGCGCCCTGGCTCCCCGAGTGTTGGCACTGCAGGTTTGCCGCCCCTTAACAAACCCTGGCGACGGAACTCCTGCAGTCACAGGTTCACGAACCTGGGTCCTGTGGGTTCGTCCAGAGTTCGTCGAGAACCGTGTTTGTTATGAGCGTTGAAAAATATGTGTTACAGACTGCTCTGTAGCTGCACATGGAGTGTTTTTCACTACAGCAAGATGGTGTACTAAAGAATAAAAATAGAATGAAGAGAAAAAAGAAAAAGCAGGACTCCTAGCTGAGAAGGGGCTGGCTTTACAAAGCTTTTACTAAATCTTTTATGTTTCTGTGCCTTACTCATAACATGAAAATGGGTATCACTTGGTCTTGACTACGTAGGACCCCAAGACACTGTGCAAGTTCTTTAAAAAATATTTTGTTTTTATGTGCCTGCACCCATGTTGGGCAGTGCCCGTGGAGGTCAGAAGAGGGTGAAACTGGCGTTTTATACAGTTGTTAGCTGCTATGTGGGTGCTGGGAATCGAACCCAGATCCTCTGCAAGAGCAGCCAATGCTCTTAACCACTTAGCTATCTCTCCAGCTCCACAACTTCCAATTATTATTTACAAGTTGTATCTTACCTCCCCCCCTCCCCAAAGCTCCTACACACTGTGGGTGTATGAGCTGCATATACGTCCTGTAAAGGCTCCATGAACAGGTGTGATGTTTCAGGTCACTCAATAGAAATACATATATGTTTAGGAATCTTTTAGACCCTTAGGACTAGGAATACAAATATTAATAGCCTGTGGTGTGAAATACTTGTGATTAAACTGCAGAAATCCCAATAATTCTAGTGACTGAATATAACCATGTGTAGGATTCTGTAGGGTCATGGGGAAAGGCCAAATAGTAGGAGGTTTGTATCACTTGTGTTGTTTGGTGTTTTTTTTTTTGTTGTTTTTTTTTTTTTGAGACAGGGTCCCCCAGCTAGCCTGGAACTCACTATGTAGACCAGGCTGGCCTTCAACTCACAGAGTTCCACGTGCCTCTGCCTGCCTCCCAAGTGCTCGGACTGGTTTGTGTCACATGTATTGAATCCTGAAGGTTGTATGTGAGCAAGGGCATTTCTGAAACTTAAGTATCCTATAGAGAGAGGTTGGAAAGAAAGCTCCGATGTGCTGCATGCCTGTAATCCCAGCACATGAGCACTTGAAAACACTAAGGCAGGGAGATTGTGAGCCTGGGCTACATGACTTTGTCTCAAATGAATCCATCCATCCCCTGAAAAGCATGCTTATGAAGTTGGAAAGAGGCTATCTGAAAACCTAGGAGGATGAAGGGATTCTCTGTGTTGTTTAGGGTTTTTTTTTGTTTTGTTTCGTTTTCTTACTCCTAATGGGTTGGTGTAAAAGTAATTGCAGGTTTTTCATTGTTGAAATTTGTTCTTTGATACTGGAATACCCTTTCAGCAGGGTCTCACTCTGTAGCCCTGGCTGGCCTGAACTTGCTCTATAGAACAGGCTGGCTTCAAACTCAGAACTCTGCTTACCTCTGCCTCCCTCGTACTGGGATTGTAGACCATACCCGGCTGGAATACATTTTTTGTTGATGTTGTTTTGAGACAGGGTTTCCCTGTAGCCCCAGCTGGCCCAGAACTCACAGTGTAGACCAAAAAGATTATTCTACCTCTGCTTCCCAAGTGCTGGGATTAAAGGCATGAGCCACCACACTCAGCTGGGGGTACATTCTTAGGCGTGTTTATGTTTTTAAAGTACATTTATCAATTTTGCTAATGACACTACTTACTATTTTTATTTTATACTATGGAAACAATGTTAGAAAAAAGTAAAATCAGCCTGGCGTGGTGTTGCACGCCTTTAATCTCAGCACTCAGGAGGCAGAGGCAGGCAGATCTTTGTGAGTTCAAGGCCAGCTTGGTCTACATAGTGAGTTCCAGGACAGCTGGGGCTACAGAGAGATCCTGTCTCAAAAAGACCAAAAAAACTCAGGTTCGGTTCCCAGACCCACATGGTGACCTACAGTTCCAGAGGATCTGATGGTGACCTACAGTTCCAGAGGATCTGATGCCCTCTTCTGACCTCTTCGGGCATTGCAGGACACAGGTGCACCTACAAACACGAAGGCAGTACACTCATAGACATAAAAATAAAAATAAATGATTTTTAAAAAGTGGATTGTGAGGCGGGCGTGGTGGCACATGCCTTTAATCTCAGCACTTGGGAGGCAGAGGCAGGCGGATCTTTGTGAGTTCGAGGCCAGCCTGGTCTACATGATGAGTTCCAGGACAGTTGGGGCTACAAGGAGACCCTGTCTCAAAAAGACCAAAAAAATTTTTTTAAGGAAGTGGATTGTATAGGACAACTGGCCATAACCAGCTTAGTGATTGGATCGAGAAGAAGCCCCAAAGCACTTCCCAAAGCCAAACTTCCATCAAAAAAAGGTCATAGTCACTGGTGGTCTGGTGCTGGTCTAATGCATTACAGAATCAAAGCCATTGCATCTGAGAAGTTTTTTGCTCAGCAAGTTGATGAATTCACCTAAAGCTGCAACATCTGTAGTTGGCATGGTCAGCATGGGCTCACTTTTCCAGAACAGTGCCTGACTGTGTATGGCCCAGCCAGTGCTTCACAAGTTGAACAAATTAGACTTTTTCCATCCACCACATTCACTTGACCACTCACCAACTGACTACTACCACTTTTTTGAGCATCTTAACAATATTTTGCAGGAAAATGCTTCCACAACCAGCAGGTGTTGAATTCTGAAGCATGGGTCTTTAATGCTACAGTAATAAACTTTTCTTATTGGAAAAAGTGTGTTGATTGCAATAGTTCCTATTTTGATTAATAAAATGGGTTTAACCTAGTTATAATGATTTAAAATTTACAGTCCGAAACTTGCAATTCCCTGTGCACCCGCCTAATACCTATCTTTGCGATGATCACTGATCTGTGTGCATTTCCTAGGATTCCTTCCGGGTGACACTGCAAGGCACCATCGAGCTGTTATCCTAGACCTGCTGCAAGAGGCACTAACAGAAGCTGGATTAACCTCCCAGGAAATTGATTGCATTGCTTACACCAAAGGTAAGCCAGGAGAGTGGTCAGAAGTGGAGGAAATTACCAGAGTCACCACTACCCCTCCATACAGACTCTCAAATCTGTTTCCTTCTCCTGTTTTTCCTAATCTCTGGGATTCTAACTCCCATTTGTACCTTGCTAGGTCCTGGCATGGGCGCCCCACTGGCTTCTGTAGCTGTTGTTGCCCGTACGGTGGCCCAGCTGTGGAATAAGCCATTGCTAGGTGTGAACCACTGCATAGGCCACATTGAAATGGGCCGCCTTATCACTGGAGCCATTAATCCAACTGTCTTATACGTCAGCGGAGGAAATACTCAGGTATTTAAGAGTATTCTCTCTAACCCATCTTAATTTCTGAGGTGTTTGAGAAGTTCCTTCATTTTCCTGAGTTACAGAAACTGCAGGGACAAAACGAGGCTCATCTGGACCTAAGACACTGTAGGAATCATAAAGGGGCTTGTAAAATTGCAGATCTTTGGAGGAGAATTAGAAAGTTAAAGTTTTATATATGCAATTATAAAGTTTAGAAATTTCCAGTTTTAAAAAGAATGGGGCATGGCTCAGCGGTTAAGAACGCTGGTTGTTCTTGCAGAAAACCTGGGTTCAAATCCCAGCACCCACAAGGCAGCTAATAACTGTCCGTAACTCCAGTTCCAGGGGATCCAACAGCCTCTTTTGTCCTCCGCCAGCACTGCACAGCGTGGGTGCACTTACCTACATGCAGGCAATATACTCACACACATAAAATATGTGTGTGTGTGTGTGTGTGTGTATAAAAAGGAAAGAACGTAAATTGAAACCTTCAAAATAATATGTCGTTTTCTTCAGTGTCATTGTTTTGAAGCTTGATTTTTTTGGAGGGGTCTTTTTGAGACGGGGTCTCCCTGTAGCCGCAGCTGGCCTGGAACTTGCTATGTAGACCAGCCTGGCCTTGAACTCACAGAGATCTGCATGCCTCTGCCTCCCGAGTGCTGGGATTAAAGGCTTGCGCCACCACGCCCAGCTGAAGCTTACTTTTAAAATAAATCTTAGGAGGCAGATATAATAGTGTATTCCTGTATTTCCAGCACTTAGGAGGTGGAGGCAGAGACAGGAGGGTACTGAGTTTGAAACCAGCCCAGTCTACATTGTGAGTTCCAAAATCTTAGCACTTAAAGCTAAGTGGCACTAACTGACTTATTTAAGATAATACGTATTGGGGATTGGAGAGATGACTTGGCAGAGGACCCAGGTTCTGCTCCCAGCACCTATGTGGCAGCTAACAGTTATCTGTAATTTCTGTTCCAGGGGATTTTACACACTTCTGGCCTCTGCAGGCATTGCACAACATAGATAGACTTATATGCATGCAGGCAGAACACTTCATAAAAATAAGTAAGTCAGGGCTGGAAAGATGGTTCAGTGGTTAAGAGCACCGGCTGCTCTTCTAAGGACCTGGGTTTGGTTCCCAGCACCCACATGGTGGCTAGCAACCCTCTGTAACTCCAATTCCAGAATATCTGATGCCCTTTCTTGGCCTCTCTGGGCACTGTATGACAAAGGTGTACTTACATGCAGGCAAACACTCATAAAATAAAAATAAATCCAGAAAAGTAAATTTTAAAAAGTTTTTAAAAATTTTATTATTTTTATTTTTTGTGTATTGCCTGCATGTATGTAAATGCACCCATGCCATGCAGTGCCTATGTAGGACAGAAAAGGCCATCGGATCCCCTGGAATTGGAGTTATGGACAGTTGTTAGCTGCCATGTGGGTGCTGGGATTCGAACCCGGGTCTTCTGCAAGAACAGCCAGTGTTCTTAACTGCTCGGTCATCTCTCCGGCCCCTTTTTTTAAAAAAAAATTTTTATTATTTAATTAATTTATTTATTAATTTATTTTTTGGTTTTTTTGAGACAGGATCTCCCTGTAGTTCCAGCTGTCCTGGAACTCACTATGTAGACCAGGCTGGCCTTGAATTCACAGAGATCTGCCAGCCTCTGCCTCCCTAGTGGTAAATAAAAAATTTTTAAAGATAACTATATGTTGTTTTATGTTACTGGAGATTCGAGTTTGATATTCTAAGAGTCTGAAAGTATAAATAACTTCTTGAGCATGAGAACCTGAGTTCTAGCCTCAGAATCCATGGGGGTGACATAGCATGCTTGTAATCCCAGCACGGGGAAGCAGGATTAGAGGCATGACTAATGCCTAGACTACTAGGAAAGCTCCTGGCTCAGTGAGAGTCCTCTTTTTTTTTTTTTAATATTTTTATTTTATGTATTTGAGTATATTTTCTACATGTATATAAGTGCACCCATGTTGTGCAAGGTCTGTGGAGGTCAGAAAAGGACCTCGGATCCCCTGGAACTGGATTTACAGGTGGTTGTTAGCCACCATATAGGTGCTGGGAACTGATCCCAGGTTCTCTGCAAGAGCAGCCAGTGCTCTTAACCACTGAGCCATCTCTCCAGCCACAAGACCGTCTCTTGAAAGAAAGATGTACAGCATTTTTAAGAAATGATACCTGATGTTGTCCTCTTATTCACCCACACCTTTACATACATGAACATACAGGCACAAAAATAAAAAATAATGGAAGGCCAGGTGTGGTAGCACACGCCTTTAATCTCAGCGTTCAGGAGGCAGAGGCTGGTGAATCTCTGTGAAATCTGAGGCCAGCCTGATCTATTTAGCAAGTTCCAGGCCAGCTGGGGCTACAAGGAGACCCTGTCTCAAAAAGCCAAAATAATAAGGATAATGATAATGATACTACCAATTACTTCATAAATAGAAGGTATTTTCCCTTTGTAGGTAAAGTTAAAGTAGTGTGGGATACTTTATCTGATTTTTCAAATACTGATATTGGATTCATTACTGTTAGAAATTATTCATTGAGCCAGGTGTGGTAGCACATGTAGTATAATCCCAGCACTGCTGCTGAGGTTAGAGGTCAAGGTTACCATGGCTACAGAGTAAGAGCTGTTTCAAAAACACAAAAGATAAGGGCTGGAGAGATGGCTTTATGGTTAAGAGCAGTTGGTGCCAGGGGATCAGACTTCTGACCTCCTCAGGCACCAAGCACTCATGTGGTACATCTTCATCCGACATGTGTGGTACACCTACATAGATGCAGGCAAAACACTCATAGCCTATAAGATAAATTTTTTTTTTTTTTTGGTCTTTTTGAGATAGGGTCTCCCTATAGCCCCAGTTGTCCCGGAACTCATTATATAGACCAGGCTGGCCTTGAATTCACAGAGATCCGCTTGCCTCTACCTCCCGAGTACTGGGATTAAAGGCATGTGCCACCATGCCCAGCCCAAATTAAATATTTTTTAAAAAAAGACAAACACTGAGTGTTCTTGCAGAAGACCCGGGTTCGAGTGGCAGCTAACACCTGTCTGTAACTCCAGTTCCAGGGGATCCAACAGCATCTTCTGACCTCTGAGGGCATTGCACGACACAGGTGCACTTACCTACATGTAGGCAATACATGCATACACATGAAAATATAAAAGTAATAAATAAAATATATTTTTTTAAAAAAGACAAACTTCCAAATGAAGAATGGGCATAAATAATGGCATACACATAAAAATATAAAAGTAATAAAATATTTTTTAAAAAAGACAAACTCCCAAGTGAAGAATGGGCATAAACGGTGGCCATGGCTCTGTTGGGTGGACAGGAGTCTAATCTTGATCTTTGAGAACTTCACCTACCCCTTTTTTGTTCCCAGTGTCAGCAGGGGGAGGATAGCCTAGGACTCTTGGTCCCTGCCTCAAAGTGGACAGGCTCATTACACTATCAGCCTGCTTCGCAGGGATAGATTGGGATAGATAGGGTTCTAAGCTAGAAAAGCAATATTGTATTTGAAACAACAGTTTTCATCTTACCTGATCTGTATTCTGTAGTTTAGGAATCAGCTCTAGGAAGCCTCAGGGTGCATGGGCTTTTTAGATACAAGCTATGAAAAAGCTATTCAGGGTTTTGAACACCCCCACCCCCACCCCACCTCCCCCCCTTTTTTTTTTGAGACAGCCTCATCAGACAACACAACCCCAAATTTGTCCTCCTTCCTCAGCCTCCTCGGTATCTGGGATTACAAACCTGTACCCTTTTTTCGTTGTTTCTTCCTTTTTGTGCCAGGTTCTCATTCTGGTACCCAGGCTTGCCCTGAACTTGTGAGCTTCCTGCCAACACCTCCTAGTACCTCCCAGGTACTGGGATTACAGATGTGCACCACCATGCCTGGCCCACTTTTTTAGATTTCTTACTAGAATGTTCTGGTGGGCCACCATCCCCAGCTCTCTTTAGTTTGGGTTCAGTTTTGTTGTTTTTGTTGTTGTCACATAAATATGAAATACTTAATGAATTTGTGTGTGTGTGTGTGAGAGAGATCTTTGCACAGGGGCCATGCTAATCTCTGTACCATTCCAATTTTAGTATGCATGCTGCAAAGTAAGCACTGGTTTGGTTTTTTAAGTATTTTTGACAATTTCGTATGTGTATGCAACGTATTTTGATCATATTTGGGTTTATTTTACTTTGTACACATGTATATACATATATACACATATATATGATGTGTGTGTAATATGGGCATGTATATGCTATGCTGTGTGTGTGTGGAGGTCAGAGCAACCTTTGAGAGTCTGTTCACTCCTTTTACCTTTACATGGATTCCAGAGATCAAACTCAGATTCCCAGGCATGCATGGCAAGTGCTTTTGCCTGCTAAGCCATTTTGCTGGCCCCTAGTTTTATTTTTTTGAAACTGGGTCTTGCTATGTAGTCTGGGCTTGCTATGAGTCTTGGACTCACTGTGTAAGCCCGAGTTGATTGCCAGTCTCCACTTTTCCTGTGCTGGAATTACAGCTCTGATTGCCACTCTGAGATGTCTGGTGGCCATGTTGACACTGCTGCTTTCTTCCACACAGCCAAATACTCCTCTTTACAGACTTGAACTTTCATGGACATTCTCATTGTCCTTAGGTGATTTCTTATTCAGAACATCGTTACCGCATCTTTGGGGAAACCATTGATATTGCTGTGGGTAATTGTCTGGATCGTTTTGCTCGAGTGCTGAAGGTAGGCCTTTCAGATGTAGAGAAACATTAAGGTATCAGTCTGGGAAATGTAGAGATGAAAGGAGGGAAGCAGTGAATAGTCCCTGGGTTTCCTATATCGCTAACTTTATGTTTGTTTTTAACATGGAAAGTTATGTATCTATTACTTGTTACAAACATGTGTTAACTTGTACCTTTGTATGTGTACAGTTTATAAAACATTGTATTGCTTTTCTTCACCTTGGTTTGGGGAGGCAGGCCAGAATGATGAGTGTATCCATGTGTGTGTCAGAATGCGTTTCTGTATTTTGTATTATGTGTGTTTACATGGTCAGTCATCTGCTTCTTTCGTGTTGCTAGATTTCCAATGACCCGAGTCCAGGCTACAACATTGAGCAGATGGCAAAGCGGTAAGATTGAAGAACTTGGGCTGTTGAGACTTTAGAGATTTCTTGAATATGTTAATGAGGTATGGGAGGGGTTTTAGAGGTGAGTAACCAGCTGATTATAGGTTTAGTGCCTTTATTCATTTCTGTATAGAGGCAAAAAGTTGGTTGAACTGCCCTACACTGTCAAGGGGATGGATGTCTCATTCTCAGGGATTCTGTCTTTCATTGAGGTGAGTGTGAGTGGTAAGAAGACAGGAGCATTTCTGGGACACACCCCGCTTCACTCACCGTTGCATTTCCCTGCATGTGGTAGTAACCATAGCAAGTGTGGAGTGCATTCACATAGCAAATCCTGTGTGTTGTCTGTGTGCCAGGCACTGTTCCAGTAATAGGGAGCAGTAAAGGGCAAAGTAAGAGTCCGTCCATATATGGAAAGTAGAGGCTCCCGTGGTGTGCTGCACACCTGGAAACTCAGTAGTTGGTTGATGGAAGTAGCAGGATCCAGAATTCAGGGCTGGGGTCCACTACATACTGAGTTCAAAGCCAGTGTAGGCCACATGAGATTCTGTCTCCGAGAGAGAGAGAGAGAGAGAGAGAGAGAGAGAGAGAGAGAGAGAAGAGAAAGAAAGAAAAAGAAGCTGAAAAAAGAAAGGAGTCTTCTAGAGGTCAGCAGCCCTTCAAGCGCAGTTTTGCTTTCATGAAATCCTCAGCCCACTCTTCTTTTTTTGGTTTGTTTTCCACTTCAACTGTAGGATGTGGCCCAACGGATGCTGGCCACAGGGGAGTGTACTCCTGAGGATCTCTGCTTCTCCTTGCAGGTATGGAGTGAAAGCTGGGGTGAAGCGCTGACTGGAAGAGCCATTACATAGTAGAGTGAGCTGAGATGGGATGCCCCGCCCATGTTTTCACCTTGTCTGTCCTTAGGAAACTGTGTTTGCAATGCTGGTGGAGATCACAGAGCGAGCCATGGCACACTGTGGCTCCAAGGAGGCCCTCATTGTAGGAGGAGTGGGGTGTATGTATCATTGGACAGTGTTCCCTTTTCCTTATCTTGGTAGTCTGTGTCCTCCTGATACTGGAAATTGCCAATAGTTGGGGTAGATTATTTCATTTCTTGCTCTGTGTTTCCTGATCCGCACTCCCCGTCTGCCACTAAACTGTCCTAAGTACGCAGCTACTTTGATGGAGAGGTGGCTAAAGTAAGCTTACCTTGTTCCCTCTCTTCCTAGGTAATAGGAGGCTGCAAGAGATGATGGAGACAATGTGCCAGGAGCGGGGAGCCCAGCTGTTTGCAACAGATGAGAGGTAAAGTCCTTTTCCATTTCCTAATTTCTTCTCTTCCCATCATTACGATTTTCTGTTTATAGATCACAAGTTTCATTATCTCTGTTCCCAGATTCTGCATTGACAATGGAGCCATGATAGCTCAAGCTGGTTGGGAGATGTTTCAGGCTGGACATAGGACCCCCCTCGGGGATTCTGGAATTACACAGAGGTGAGTGATAGTTAATGGGAGATAGGCAAAAATCAATAGGTAGGAAAGTCTAGGGATGGAAGGGTAGATTTGAATAGAAAATGCAGCCTGGAAAGATGGCTCGGTGGTTAAGAGCACTGGCTGAGGACCCAAGTTCAGTTCCCAACACCCACTTGGTGACTGAAAACTGTCTGTAACTCCAGTTCCAGGGGATCTGATGCTCTCTTTTGGCTTCTGTGGGCACTGTGTACAAGAGGTGCACTTATATACATGAAGGCAAAACACTCATACACACAAAATATAAATAAAAAAAAGAATAGAAAATGCTAGGGGTGGGGTGTGGCGACATGCACCTGTAATCCCAGCACTTGGGAGGCCGAGGCAGGAGGATTTTGATTTTGAGGACCAGCCTAAGTTACAGATGCTTAAAAACAAAAAAAAACTAAGGCTAGTCCCACTAAATTTTGTCTGTTTTTTTGCAGGTATCGGACAGATGAAGTAGAAGTGACGTGGAGGGACTGACGGGATGAGCAGGATCAGAGTAGATAGCTCTCCAAATAGAGCTCAGAGGGCCCTTTAGTCTCTGCTGATGTGGGAGTAGGTCTTTGCAGTGCTATGAACTTCCCTCTTCTGGCAATTGTGTGGACTCCATACAAGGTTTGGGCCCCTGTGGAACCTCAAGATGACTCAGCCATAAAACTTTTGGTTTTGTATGTTGGTAATTGGATTGTGTTTTTCAGAGTTAGCACTGGGTAAATTACTGGTAAGGTCAATGGATAAACAGGTGAAGGTAGCATCATGGTTGATGGTGCAGGTAGTCTTGATGGCTGCTACTCAGGTGGAACATGAGGTTCTGTCCTAACATCCCATTAATGATGTCAGAACTATGCAGTATTTAGTATTAGTCCCTGTGCTGACTGCTGTACATTTACCAAATCATTTTAAAATTTTTGAAGTAGATATCCAGGACTTCCCTTAAAATAGCCTGAAGATAGGTCCAATTTATGAGCAAAGCTACCCCCATAAACTTCCTTTTAATATATTCCTACAGACACTTCACTGGCCAATTTGAGGGGACCCCAGATATCCCTCCCTACATAAGTATTGGAACTACTAGACTTCCTGAATTATCAATCCATTTCATCTTTGCCGTCTGGTAGCCATGTATCTCCCATCTTCATTTCTGTCCCCTTCCAAGCTCTTGAAGCTTCTCTGTGCCCTTTGGAGCTGACAACCATTCATTTGTAAATATCATGTGTCCTGCATCTTTTCCCTGAATACTTACTATTGGTCTGAGACCTGGTTTCACTTCTTTTCCTCTTCCTGGCTAGAGACCTGGTTTCACCAGTTTTCAATATTCTTCTAACATCTACATCAGGCACTTACTTTCTCAGTCATATTTTAAATTCGCAGCTCCTCCATTTCGGTTTCATCCCGTTCTGTAACCTGTCTGTTGCAGTCATTCCTTCTAGTCTGCTGGATTCACCCGGTCCCCAGGACCTGCAAGCCTTTGGTCTTCCTTTCCCTTCTTCTCAGCTAAACACCAGTAAAAAATACCTCGCTGCAGAGATTTCCTTTCCCTCAGCCGTTTTACCTTTTAAAATTCAAACAAAGAAAAAAGATCTCGGGGCTTAGAGAGATGGCTCAGCGGTTGGGAACACATGCTGCTCTTGCAGAGCACCCACACCAGGTGGTTCACCGCCTCCTGCTACTCCAGCTCCAGGGATTCGGTGCCATCTGGTAGTCTCCTTGGGTATTTGAACTCATGTGTACCTATCTACACACATACATGTACGTAATTAAAAATCAAATCTTAAATGAATTGGGATGTGGCGGCATATGCCTTTAATCCCAGCACTTCGGAGGCCCTCTGTGAGTTTGGGGCCACCAGCTCTACAAAGTGAGTTCCAGGCCAACTGGGGCTATTGGAACTCACTATGTAGACCAGGTTGGCCTTGAACTCACAGAGATCTACCTACCTCTGCCCCCCACCCCCGAGTGCTGGGATTAAAGGCAAGCACCACCATGCCTGGCTTAATTTTAAAAAACAGGATCTCATACATAGCCCAGGCTAGCGTCAGACTAAGTATGCACTCTGTAGTCGAAGATGCCCTTGGAACTCTTGATCTTTTGCTTCTGCCAAAGTGCTGGAATTACAGGTGTGTGTCACCATACCCAGTTGATTCAGTGTTGAGGATGGCACCCAGAGCTGCTTGTCTGTAAGACATATATTCTACCAACTGAGCTGTACCCCCAGCACCCATCCTACTTTGTTTTGCTCATCACCTGCTCGATACCTGCTCCATGCTGCTGAAAGGGCAGGAACAGCCTTGCTCACTGCTCCTAGACGTTCACCACAATGACACCAAAGTGGGTCCTCACTGTCACTCGGTGTCTTCAATCTCCCAGCCCTCTCACATGCTCTCTGATAATGTCTGTATCTTTTGATCCCCCAATCCTCATTCTCACTCTTTCCCTGTGTGATGGCTAATCCTGGGTGTCAACTTGACTGGATCTGGGATTAACTGAAATGAGCTTCTTAATTGGATCATCTGAAGCCGGAAGACACACCCTAAATGTGGGTGTTACCTTCTGATGGCAGCCCGTATAAAAGGCCAGGGCAGAGGAGAACACCTGGCTTCTTGCTGTTTGCCTTCTCTCGCTGGTGAGTTCATCTTGCTGGTGAGTTCATCTTGTTGCTATAGACTGAAGACTAGCTGATCTTTTGGAATTCGTCAGACCTTCAGCGCCAGGTTGGGCCTACTGCGACATCCAGCCTCATGGACTGAGTGACTATGGATTCTCAGCCTCTCCAGAGTCATTGTTGAACTACTCGGACTCTCCTGTGAGCTAAGCTGATAAATCTCTACACATACATATTCATTCTACCAGTTGTTTCTTTGCAGAACCCTGACTAATACACCCTGATTCCTACTTCTGAGAAAATGGCAATGAGAACACATTTACAAGTTCCCCACACTGTTCTGTCTACCTCAGCATCAGAGCTCATTGTCTCTCCTCTTACCATAAACCAGAGGCTCCCACCTAGGGCTGATTTTGTCCTAAGAAGACAAAATGCAGGTGCTACTAAAGAGAAGCCAGGGATGCTAGAAAATACTCTGAAGAGTGGAAAGAGTCCCCAAACGATTTCTGTGCTAAAATGTCATTGGTATCAGGGTTGAGAAACTGCTGCAGACATGGTCCACATTTCACCCACAGACTTGTACAGTAGCTTTGAAGGGCAAAATAATGCTACTACTGTTCCTGTATTTCAAATAATACTGTTCTTTTGTTCTTTAATTTGCTTTTATGTATATGAGTGTTTTGCCTGCAAGTGTATAAGTACACCATGTGCTTGCAATGCCCACAGAGGGCAAAAGAGGGCATCAGATCCCCTGTCCCCTGGAACTGGAGTTAATGATGGTTGTTAGCTGCTATGTGGGTTCTGGGAACAGAACCTGGGTCCTCTGTAAGAGCAGCCAGTGTTCTTTACTGCTGAAACATTTCTCCAGCCCCCTAATACTCTTTCTTGATTCCATTTCTCCTTCCAGCTGTTCCCCATTTTACTGTCTACAGCAAAGCTTTCTTTTTAAACCCTGAAGTGTTGAATATGCATACACAGCTGCTTAGCTTTGGGTGGTTCTGGGCTAGTTTTTGTGACTTGTTACTATCTAAACATCAGGTGTCACTGAGCATCAGTGAGTGGAATTCAGTAGGTCCCCAGAGTTGAGAGAACACAGCAAAGCTTAAAAGAGTTCTGCCAATTCCTCTCTATAAGCGCTCTGGTTAAAATCTGTTTTGGGGCTGGGAATATAGCTTAGATGGCTTAGCTAGCATTTTCAAAGCCCTAGATTTGGTCCCTACCACCACATAAATCAAGAGTGGTGATGACACCTGTAACCTCAGCACTCAGGAAGATCAGAAATTCATCCTTGGGTATATATAGTGTAAGTTTAAGGGAGGCATGGCTACATGAGAACCTGTCTCAAAAACCAAACCTCGGTATTCTCCTTGATGTGTTCCTGTGTGTGTTTTTCGCTTCCAGTTAATCAAATCCTCTTGCATTTGCCTTCAGCATTTATCCAGAACCCCATTTCTGCTAAACCAAGTCAGCAGTTTTATCTTCAAGCTGTTTGCAGTAGCTGCTCCTTCTGTTTCCACCACTGCCCACTTCGCAGCACTGCAGCTACAGTGCATGATGTTGCCATGGAAGCCAGATCATGTCCCTCCTCTGCTCAAAATCCTCTTGTATTTTCCTGCATCAGGTTACATAAAAGTCCTTTTGGCTTTATTTTTTTTCTTTTAATATATTTTATTATTTTTATTCGTATTTGTATGATTGTATTGCCTACATGTATGTAAGTGCACCTGTGCTGTGCAGTGCCTGTGTCAGTCAGAAGAGGACATCAGATCCCCTGGAACTGGAGTTATGGACGGTTGGTAGCTGCCATGTAGGTGCTGGGAATTGAACCCTGGTCCTCTGCAAGAGCAGCCAGTGCTCTTAACAGCTGAACCAGCTCTCTAGTCCCTGCTTTGGTTTTTTGAGACAAGGTTTCATGTAGTCCAGGCTGGTCTTGGATTCATTGTGTAGCTGAGGCTACCCTTGATCCTCCTGATCTACGACGTGAGTGCTGAGATGACAGGCCTGTGCCACCACACCTGGCTCTAGAGTCTTTTAGGTTGTAAGGCTGAGCCTTGAATGGCTGTGCCAGCTCTCCAGTCCTCTAGAATCTTTTTACAGGGCTGCAGGACCTGCTAGGATCTTTCCTTCCTTTTCCTACTTCCCACTTGGGCCTCATCTCCTGCTACTCCTTCCGTCTCCCTCAACAACACGGGCTTTTGTCATCAAGGCCTTGCTCTTCTCCCTGCCTGGAAACTTGTCTCTGCTTAAAGTCACGCTGTCATTGAGTGGGAGGTGTGGGATGAGTGTTCCACCTCCTCCCTGCACCCATTCCCATCCCCTCTTTCCAGAAGGAGTTCTGGCCAAATGGGCAGTCTTTCCTTTCTCCTCCCAAATTCAAAGCATTGCTCCCCAGGACAGAGAGGTGGCTCTCTAGATTACAAAAGTCTGAGAGCAATAAACAGTTCTCTGGGGTCTTCCCCCTCTGTCTTGTCTGGTGCTTCTGGTGGAGTCCCAGAATAAGGCCTCTTTCTTTGCCCTTGAGGAGCTGGGATATGGAGTCTTTCCAGGAAAACCATCCAATTTCAGGTTGCCATCCCTCAAAAATCTGCCATGTCAGCTCTTTCCCTGATTTTCAGACACCAGGTTCGTTGACACCCTTCCCCCAATCCCACATCTTCCTCTGTTGCAGTTTGGCTCCTCTCAGCTCCGTCCACTCTCACTACCATTCCCTCAGCCTCCTCAGTCCTCCACTCCAGCACCTGCCTTAGGCTCCCACTGCATGCTGGCCAGTGCCACACCTGGGCGGAAAGTCATAGTCAGCACACCTACCACCAACAACTGTTCTCTATTTCAAGCAGCTGCATTTTGTGTTCCTGGAGGGGCAGAACACAGGTTTTACAGAAAATTGGTCAGTGTTTCTAAGCTGGTGTCACAGTACAGGGTCAGACATTACAAGGTTAGCAATGAGAGATGCACAAGGAGGGAAGGGACAGGCAATACCCAAGGTCTGCGAAGCCCACTGTGTATATAGCCACAGGTGTGGCATTGGCAAAGGTAAAGATGAGCCCCATGGAACCTACCAGGCTGTGTAAGATGAGGAGGGAGATACAAGTCACCAGAGGGTAAAGGAAGAGCTGGTCTATGATCTCAGTCTGACAGGACCTGGGGGCTCCAAGAACAGCAGGGTCACAACAGACACACTGGCCTTGAGTTTGCCATTGGTGGAGATGGCTGAGCTAGACAAGGCACTAATAGTGATGCCTGAGGTAGAGATTAGGATAATGAGCCATGTGAGCCCTGAGATGGGGATGGGAATTCAGTCACTCAGGCCCTGTTCCCTGAATTCTCTCTGCTGCCTTAAGAGCTCTGAGTTCATCCCTACACTTGCCTGACCAGTAATCCAAAGCAGCTGCAGCTAGAGAATGATGTCCCGCCCCAACCCCCATTACTGAGCATGTAGCTAATCTGAGGAGCAGAGTGGTGTAAGAAGAGGGAGTCCCCACAATAATCCTCCCTCAGACCTCTTCTTTCTTTAGAGGTATCCTCCAAGATGTCTAGGAGGAAGCTCTTTCACCTACCTAGGTCCTGAAACCAGGGACTCTGAGCTCCAGTCCTTTACCACCGCTTTCATGACCCACCCAAATCATGCTGGGGTCTTACAGTTCCTGCCACTAGAATTCTGAGTCACTTTCTTAGGAGTGTGGCTTGGCATGGATCTTCTCTCCAAAGGTAAAAGATGCACTGTCCTCTGGCTGAGACAGCACAGATAGAGCAAATGTCAAGACCCTTCCCAAGCCAGGTTGTTTGCAACCAAGAGGGTAGTTACCAGACCTGGAGGTCTTGGTGGCAGTCCCAGGGCCTGCATGGGGTGAGTGGTGACCCAGCCAGTAGATTTCATCCTATCTGGGAGTTTACTGTGGGGCATGGATTGCACCAGGTTAGAGCTATACAGAGCTTCCAAAGGTGACTGGCTGCAGGAGAGCCATCCCAGGACCACGGAGTTGGTGTAGAACTCATAGCAGGGTCCAATGGCCTTGTTCTAGGCAGATGACAGCAGTTAGCAAGGGTGTATCTCCAACTTGTAGTTCCTGTACTTCCTGCTGGGACCTCAAGCTGTCTTACTGAGGGGAGGCATGAGCATTCTCTGACATGTTTGCACTGAAAAAAACATTGTCAAAGTTGGTCATTATCGCCCCACTCATCAGTGAGGACACACATGGGCTCCCTCTGTCAGTTAAACTATTTTGGCCCAGGCATCGTTGTGGACATCGAGAGGCTAAGGCAGGAGGATCTAGAGTTTAAGGCCAGCCTGGGTCACATAGTAAAAAGCCCTTTATTGACTAGGTTTGGTGGTGCATACTTAAAATCCCAGCTGTGGAGGCAGGAAGATGGCTACAAGTTTGGGGCAAACCTGGTCTACATAATGAGTTCCAAGCTAGCCAGACCATCTCTCAAAAAAAAAAAAAAAATCAAAGTAGGGGCTGGAGAGATGGCTCAGTGGTTAAGAGCACTGACTGCTCTTGCAGAGGACCCAGGTTCGATTCCCAGCACCCACATGGTGGCTACGAACCATCCTTAACTCCAGTTCCAGGGGAATCTGAAGCCCTCTTCTGACTTCTGCAGCATTGCACAACACTGGTGCACTCACATACATGCAGGCAATACACTTGTACACATAAAATAAAAATAATAAAATATTAAAACAAAATCAGATAAAAGTTGAAAAACTATCCCAAAAGAAAATCAAAGTCACCCCCCCCAAAAAAATTGGGGGAATGCAACCCACCAGCTAGGCTTCTCCAGGAATTACTACTCTAGATGATCAGGGATAGGACCCAAACTGTAATGGAGAAACAACTCCAGAAGCAAAGGGAGTACTGTGCTAGTCATCTTAGCTCCTTACTCCACACTGAAAACCCACTCACCTGAATCTAGGGACAGTAATCCCTCCCCCATTAAGTTTGCTTGTCTGGTCAGCCTATCCAACCTAGACCAGCCTTTTTAGATCAAGGCTTTGGCCCATCCTACCTTACCTGGAGAAAGGACAGGAGGCACATTACTGCCCTCCTCCCTAAAACCCTTCCCCAAGATGTCACCTGGAACTGTGTAGCAGGTGATTATGACCTTCTAAGGGCTTTAGCCCAGCACTGGGTCTCAGCCTGAAAAATGTTCTTCTAGGGCTTAGAGAGATAGCTCTGCAGTTATCAGCACTGGATGCTCTTACAGAAGACCTGGGCTCAGTTCCCAGCACCCACATGGGGGCTAACAACCGTCTGTAACTCCATTCCCAGAGAGGATTTGACACCCTCTGACCTCTGTGGGTGTTGCACAACATGGGTACACTCGTATGCATGCAGGCAAAACACTCATACACACACACACACACACACACACACACACACACACACATACACACACACAAGGTGTTGTTCCAGGCAGAGGGAGTAACTGCAGATGTCCTGCCTCAAACAGGACAAATACATGTGTGTCCCCAGCCCAGTTAGTCCAAGATTCTGATCCCTGCTTCAGGGAAGATCAGCCACACATTCCACTGTTTCTCATCCCAGTGGCCCTGGTTAGATTCCCAAAGACTCTTCTAAGGACAGAGCTGGGTGTTACGCTCTCACCTCAGGTTGGAGAAGACCTGCCAGGGAAAGTCACCTAGTCTCTAACCTGTCCTCTGCCCTTTCACTAACCCACTTTCCTCTGCTGTCATGGACAGGGCTAGGCTGTTTGCATTTCACGTTAGTGTTATTTACTCCAGGATTCCAGTCAACACAGCTCTGGGCTGACTCAGAACACCTACCTCTCTCCTCATCCAGTGCGCAGTCTAGACTTTTCAGACCCTTTCAATCACCACCCACCACTACCACCGCCAGCTGTGGTGAATACAGCCCTTCTGGCTTGGCTCCCTCTGCCCAATGCCTACATCCTCTTTGCCTTGCAAATTCCCCTCACTCAGCACCCTCTTGTGACCTACCGGTGGAAGGCAAGGGGGAAGTCATTCCAGGACATGGCCCAGGGTGTCAGCTTCCAGCACACACAGACTGGGGTTTAGCCCTTCAGGCTAACTATAATTAGCCAGATGGAGCCACTGCCTGGGATCTGGGTAAGTTCCCTCTGCACACGGCAGTCCCAAGCAGAGTGAGCACTCAAGTGAGAAGGCAATTGGAAGCCTGGTGTCTCCTGAGGGGGACTAAGAGGAGCTGGGGTGGCCTGCATGCTGGATCTCTAAAGTGCCGCATGCTTTTCTGAACCTGGTAAACTCCATAGCTGATACCATATGGCCCACTATTCCAATATGAGGGTGTCACCTTGGGATGGGTGGAAAGGACTGACAGTTTCATGAAATGAAGAGAGTTCTGGCTTTCTGGCTACAGCAAAGGCATCCTTCTCTCTTGCCTGGTCACCTGCAGCAACCCAACAAAGCCTGAGTCATGAGGTTCTAGAAGACGGCAGGATGTCCTTCAGACTTGGAACATAGCTTCTAGAAGATGGCACGATGTCCCTCGGACTTGGAACATGTCTCCCTTCCTGTCCAGGACGGCCTTGGACTCCCTTTGCCTGCGCTAAGAACCCTCTCCTGGTCTCCCTCTCCTGAGGAAGACCCTGGTTTACTTTCCTTTCCTCTGGCAGAACCTGACCTTAGCCCCTCAGTCCCAGGAAACCTCCCCTTTCCAGCTTTGTCCCTAGAGAAAGAGGAAGAAGAGGATGAGGGCGACGAGGCAGAGCCCGAGATGCTGTTCAGCGAGGCGCACCCGGGCCAGTTCTTCGCGGAAGCCAGGAGGCTGCGGGAGCAGAAGCTGTTGCTAGACGAAGACGTGTCAGTAGGGGGACAGGTATACGGGGTGCATCGGGTGATCCTGGCCGCAGTCAGCAGCCTCTTCCGAGGCCGGCTGAGCTGCGGAGGTCCTCGGCCTCCGCTGAGCATCAACGTGACCCGGGGGGGCTGGGAGGCCGCGCTGACCTTTGCCTATGAGGGGGTGCTGGGCCCCGCCACGCAGGGCGAAGTGTTGGCTGCCGCAGAGGTGCTGGGAGCGCCCAGGCTGAAGGCTGCGGCTCAGAGGACGCCAGGAGGGCTCGGAAAAGCCAGGGAAGACGGAAAGCAGCTCAGCCAGGCAGAGGAGCTGAGGGAGAACCTGCGCGCCATGGAGCTTCTGTTTCGAGAGGGCGTCGGGTGTGACTTGGAGCTGGAGGCAGAGGGCTACCGGCTGCGCGGTGAGGGCCTGCGGAGCAATGGCCAGGATGGTGTTGCAAGCTGCAGGTGGCTGGTGCAATGGCCACGATGGTGTTGCAAGCTGCAGGTGGCTGGAGCTCCGCCACTGAGGCTTATGCTTATTTTGCAGTGCTAGGGCGAACCTAGGGCTCGCCACCACTCCACGAGAGCTGCATCCCCAGCCCTCCATGACAGTTTTGAATATCCTTTTTGGTGCTTATCCAGCGCCACCAAGAGATGCCCATGCGCAGTTGAGTTGTTTTGCTAGCCTCTGGGACAGATATGAACTGACCATTCGGGCGCTGGGCTTGCTCCCTGCCTAGTAACAGAAATTTCTAGCCAGTTGGCTGGAGCTAAGGGTACAATCCATGGCAGGAGAACAAGCACGCTGACTGACTCAGTCAGAGTAGCCAATGGCTTTGGCGTCTTCCATTGAGTATACAGCAGAAAACAGAGGCGTCGGGTGGAAATCTCCCAACATGTCCTTTGTAAATGTGTTTGACTCTGGGGCAGGTTTTAGGGCTCTCTAGCTTGGAGGCACGTCTGGTACTGTTTTGTGAGATTCTTAATGCAAGCAGACAGGCACTCTGAAGTGAATTCCATCATTGCCAGAAAACTGAGTAGGGTTGAATGAGTTAAACATTATTCAACTTTTACTAACATCTAGTAAGTAACCTATACAGTACCAGGAATTTTTAGACATCTCTCTTTTTATTTTAATTTATTTTTATTTTATGTGTATGAGTATTTTGTGTGCATGTATGTAAGTGCACCACTGTGCAATGCCCATGGAGGCCAGAAGAGGCTGATGAGTCCTCTAGAACTGGAGTTACAGATGGTTGTTAGCTACCATGTGAGTGCTAGGAAATGAACTTGGGTCCTCTACAAGAGCACCCAGTGCTCTTTATTTCCTTATTTATTTAAAAAAAAATTTTTTTTTGAGACAGGTCTCTCTGTAGCTCCAGCTGGCCTGGAGCTTCAACCTCACAGAGATCTGCCTGCCTCTGCCTCTCAAACACACAGAAAGATTCACATGCAAATGTTCATCACACAGTTATTTTATCTCATACTTTTGGCTGAAGTTTAAAGTAAATTTGTGGCCTTTCCCTCATAATGGATATGTTTTTTTAAAAAAAGGTCAAGAGAGATAGCTCAGTGTCTAAAAGCATTTGTTACTATTCCAGAGGACTTGAGTTTGACTCCCAGCGCCCACATTGGGTAGTTTACAACTACATGCAACTCCAGGTTCAGGGGAATCTGAGACCACTGGCCTCTGTGGGCACCTGTGCTCATATACTCATATGCACATACAGACAGACAGACACAGACACATAATTAAAATAATAAAAATGTCTTTTAAAAACATTTTAATGAATTTTTGTGATTTTTCATACAATATAATTTGATGGTATTTAGATCTCCTACCCTATCCATACCTCCTCTTATTGCCCCACACCAAATTTAATATGTTTCCCAGAATGTCCTCCTGTGTGGGTCCATCCACTCGAGCCTCGTTAACCTACTAGAGTATTATCTTTGAAGGAAACTGTCTTAAGCTGGGCATGGTGGCACATGCCTGTAGTTCCAGCACTTGGGAGGCAGAGGCAGGCAGATCTTTGTGAGTTCAAGGACACCTCCACCTGGTGTACATAGTGAGTTCCAGGACACCTCCAAAAAAAACATGCAGGAAAGAGACTGTCTTTCCCCCTCACAGCTGCCTTCAGTTGCCAAAAGTTCCTTGGGTTGGGTTGGAGTTTCTTACCCACTTCCCCTCATCTATACTGGCATTTTATTTGGTTTGAGCTTGCATAGGACTTGTGCATGCTATCACCATTGCTGTGAGTTCATAAGAGTAACTGACCAGCTGTCTGGAAAACTGTTTCCTTGTGGTCATCTACCACCTCTGGCTCTTACAATCTTCCTCCCTCCTCCACCCCCTTCCAGAATGATCCTTGAGTCAAAAGTTTGATTTAGGTGTCCTACTCAGGGATAAGCATTCTGCAGGTTCTTGTTCTCTGCACATTAGCCAGTTGAGGGTTTTTGTGTCAGTCACTATTTGCTACATAAGGAATCTTCTTTGGTGAGAGTTGAGAGATGCATTAATCTATGGGCATAACAATAAGTCCTTAGGAGTCAGTTTAATATAACTAATAGAAAGCTAGTATCTGGTTCTCTCCTATGTCCTGTGACCTGTCTAGCTTCAGGTTCCTATGCCTGATATCAGTGTCAGGTATGAATTCCATCTGGGAAGTGGATCTTAAAAAGAGTGGTTGGTTATTCCCATAATACTCATGTCACTGTTACACCAGCTGGCATATCTTGCCAAGGCAGTTGTTGCTATAGATCACAGGATTCACAGCTGGGTAAGACTATTTTTTCCTTTCAGTAGCATGCACAGCACCTTGAATAGCACTATGAATGCTAGCTAGTAGAGAGAAGGCTCTGAAGTGAGCACTTCTGTGATTTCTCCTTGTTTGTTCCTTGTTTGCTCATGTACATAGTATCTTCAGCAATAAGGTCTTACCATCCAGTTCTGGTGGGTAACCAAGCCCGGGGCAATTGCCAGTATTCTTTGAGGATCTAGGGGAGCCTTGGTCAACAGCTTCTAGAGGAAGAATCCATTCCTGGCATTGAGGTTTTGTTTTGTCTTTGATGTGTATAAGGGGCAGTACCCCTCTGTCATGGGGTAACTCCTTTTAATATCTAAAACTGAATCTTTAAAAAAAATATCTTTGAGCCAGGTATGGTGATGCACACCTTTGATCTCAGCACTCAGGAGGCAGAGGCAGGCAAATCTCTGTGCGATAGAAGCCAGTCTGGTTTATAGAGTGAGTTCAGGTTATCTGGGGCTACAGATAACCTGGTCTCAAAAAGACCAAAAAAAATATATCTTTGAGCTCTTTACTTTTTGAGAGAGCTCCCTAAGTTGCCCAGCTGGGCTTGAACACACTCTGTGGCCCATATAGTCTTTGAACTTGTGACCCTCTTTCTTTAGCCTCCTTGTAACTGAGGTTACAAAGTCTTCACCACAAAGTTTGGTTCTTTTTAAAACTCTTCCATATTTTTTAAGTCTTTATCACATTTACTTTTTTATGTATGTGTGTGTATGTGTGTGCTTAAGCTATGGTGCTTGTGTGGTGGTCAGAAAACAACTCACAGGAGTTGGTTCTCTCTCTCTACCATGTGGGTCCCAGGGATCAAACTCAGACCATCAGGCTTGGTGACAAGCACTTTTACCCACTGAGTCATCTTGCCCACCACCCAGTTCTTAAGGAATGATTGAATTAGATAGCTTTGAAGGTTGATGTTTTAAATCTCATAATAATTTCATGAAATATTCAGAGGTGGGGAGAAAGTAGTACAGAAAGTAGGGACACATTGAGAAATCACGAATTAAGTCTTAGGCAAGAGAAGATGGGTTAGAATATAACCATTCTTGTTTTTTTTGTTTTTTTTTGTTTTTTTTTTTTGTTGGTTTGTTTTAAAGACAGGGTCTCACTATGTAACCATGGCTGGCCTAGAACTTGCTATGTAGTCCAGGCTGCCCTTAAACTTACAGAGATCCACCTGCCTCTGCCACTCAATTTTGGGACTAAAGGTATAAGGCATCTTCCTGGCACTGGTATTGCCACATTTCCAGAAAAACTGACAGAATGACCGAAGCAGCAGCTCTTTCGATTATAAATGAAAAAACCATATTCTGCACATAATGTAGTGAGACCTCTATAAGCTTCACATTGTTCTATTCAGTTTATTTTGTGTTCCCTGGCAGCAAATGTTGTTTATAACATTTTCTCAACCTGATCCATTAAGATTGTTTTTCTAACTGACCTAAACCTGAAACACTAAAGTGTTTTTCAGTCACTAACATGAGAATATTACAGGGTACTTGAATGTTTAAATATAATTTCTAGGGTCTGGGTCCAGATCTATTGAATCAGGATCCAGGGCAGGGCAGGGAGTGGCCTGAAACTTGCATTTTGCTTGTTTGTTTATTTATTTACTGCAGTACTGGGGATGGAACCCAGGCCTTGCACATACTAGGGTGTTCCAGCACTGGGCTACATGCCCAGACCTGAAAATTACAAGCATCCTATGGTACTCCGGTGTACACCATGGGGTTTGGAATATGGCCCTGGGTGGTTGGACCAAAGTTGGGGTTACAAATTAGAACCATGCCTAGCTGCCTTGCAACACTCTGGGTCTTCCTCTGCTTCTCTCCTGCAGTGCACCGAGTAGCCCTGGCCTGTGGCAGCGAGTTCTTCGGGGCTATGCTTCTGAGTGGGATGAGGGAGTCCCAGGGCACAAAAGTGTCTCTGCGCACCATCTCTACTCAAGACCTACGACTCCTCGTTTCTTTCGCCTATTCTGGAGTTGTGCAGGCAAGATGGCCTGGACTACTAAGAGCTGCCCAGGCTGCTCTGCAGTACCAAAGCTCTTCCTGCCTGGATTTGTGTCAGAGAGCCTTAGCACAAAACCTCAGCCCTGCCCTTTGCCTGGCCGTGTTTCCCATGGCTGAAGCCCCCGGGTTGGAGAAGCTCTGGAGCAAAGCCCATCATTACCTCCTCACCCACCTACCTGCTGTGGCTATGTGCCCCAGTTTCCCGTCTTTACCAGCTTCTTGCCTGGCTCAACTCTTGGATAGTGATGAGCTCCATGTACAGGAAGAGTTTGAAGCTTTCATGGCTGCACGGTGTTGGCTAGCTGCCAACCCCGAGACCCAGGAGTCAGAGGCCGAGGCCCTGCTACGATGTGTCCGATTTGGCCGCATGTCTACCAAGGAGCTGCGGAAGGTGCGGGCAGCTGGGCTCCCCCCACCCCTGACCTCAGATCTGCTGTACCAGCTGATGGTGGAAGCTGAGGTTCCAGGTCAAGAGAGGTGGAGGAGACCTGACCGAGCACTAGTGGTGATTGGTGGGGATGGACTCAGTCCTGACATGGCCCAAAGACAGCCGTCTTGCAAAGTGTGGTGGGCCCGGGCCTTCCACTGTGGCATGGGTCTGGTACGAACTGTGGAGTGGGGCCGGCTGCCTGACCTGCCTGCCCCAGGGCGCTTTCGGCATGGCGCTGTGAGCCTAGCAGGAAGTGAACTCTATGTGTGTGGGGGACAGGATTTCTACAGCCAGACTGACACTCTGGCTTCAACTCTCAGGTATGGGCAAGGTGTGGCAGGCCCCAAAGTGGACAGGTCAAAGTACTACTCCAGCCAGCGATGGGTTCCCAGAATCACTCTTTCCATCTCTATTCCGGCTATGTCCAGGTGGGGCCCCAGTCAAGAGGACTGGGAGGAGATGGCACCTTTGTGCGAAGCTCGGAGCTTCTTCCCGCTGGTGGTGTTCAATGGACAACTTTATGCTCTAGGTGGACGAGACAATGGCGTTGCCCTTAATTCTGTGGAGATCTATAACCCCGAGCTCAATGTCTGGAGGTAAGCAGGCAAGAGAACATCAGGGAGAAACTAGATTTGGAGTGGAAAGAAGGAAGCTGGGCATTTGGAGTGGAAAGAAGGAAGCTGGGCATGGAGGCACACACCTGCAATCCTAGCACTGCAGGGGCTAAGGCAGGAGCCTAGGCTGGTCTGGCTGTGTAGCAAGCCCCTGCCTCCGAAAACAATAAAGCTGAACATTCTTGTTGCCTGATCTTGTTCCATTCTCCCGTAGGCCAGGACCTGCACTTCCAGCACCATGCTTTGCCCACGCAGCTGCCGTCCTGGAGGGCCGATTGTATGTGAGTGGTGGTTGTAGTGGGTCTGGCCAGTTCATGGACTCACTGCTGCACTATGACCCCAAACTTCAGAAGCCTGGGACACTTTTGAGCCCAATGGATATCCCTAGGGCTGGTCATGTGATGGCTGCTCTGTGTGGGCGGTTGTATGTGGCAGGTGGCCTAGGTGAGACAGGGGACCTGCTGAGTGTTGAGGCCTATGAACCAAGGACTGACAGCTGGACTCACCTGGCACCCCTGCCTTCACCCCATGTGGGAGCTGCAGGTGCTGTGCTACAGGGGGAGCTACTGGTGCTGGGGGGCTACAGCCACCGTACTTATGCCATTTCCCACCTTATCCATGCCTACTGCCCTGGCCTGGGCCGCTGGCTCTGCCTGGGAACTCTACCAAGGCCACGGGCTGAGATGCCTGCCTGCACCCTGACATTGCCCACTGTGCAGCACGTAGCTTTGGTCCCTACTGTGCACCAAACCAAACCTGCTGGATGAAGGAGGCTCAGCAATATATGAGGGATGAAAGGATAAGAAATACCAGGACAAAAGGACAGAGATTATGAGGGGAGGAAAGCGTTTTCCCTCTCTCTCTCTCTCTCTCTCTCTCTCTCTCTCTCGGATCTTACGATGTAGCCCAGGCTGACCTCAAATTTGAAGTCCTCCTGCCTCAGCTTCTTGAGTGCTAGACTGCGTTCACCACCCCAACTGACTTGAGAAGTGTTCATCATCATCATCATCATCATCATCACATCATCATCATCATCTGAGACCAAGTCTCCCATATTCCAGGCTGGCTTAGAACTCCCTGTGTATCTGAGGATGACCTTGAGCCTCTAATTCTCCTGCCTCTACCTCCCTAAGAGCAAGGATCACAGGCATGTACTACCACACCTGGTTTATGTGGTACTGAAGCTCAAAGCCAGGACTTTCTGCATGCTGGGCAGTTACTCTACCAACTGAGCTGTATCCCAGCCCCCAAGAAAAGGCTTTACTCTTTCTTATTTATTCGTTTTGTGTTTGGATACAGTCTCACTATGTAATCCTGGCTGGCCTGGAACTTGCTATGTAACCTAGGCTGGCCTTAAATTCCCAAAGAGCCACCTGCCTCTGCCTCTCAAGTGCTGGGATTGCAGGCATGCATCACCACTCCCAACTGAGAACTTTTTGATAGTATTTTGTTCTCACGGTGCCTTGCAGTTCATAAACTGCCTTTATAGATATGATCTGTACTGAGGAAAAGGTGGTTCCACGATGAGGAACTGGCCTTAGGAGAAAGCAGCTGAATCCTTGGGTAATGGAGGCAACCAGGAAGAACGGGAAGAAGCACAGGTAGTTGGGGTTGTGAGTGGAGCTCATAGTCTGTCTAGCATGCATAACATCCTGGTTCAGTAATCTCCAGCACCAAAAAAAGAGAGAAAAAAGAAAGGAAAGAAGGAAGAAAGGGAAGGGTTAGCGAGCTTCAATAGGCAAAGAATAGGGACTAGGAAAGGACTGTAGACAATTGGAAAATGATTCTGGCCCCCAGAGGAGTGCAGAAGGAATCATACGGCCCCACCCCCTTTCCTGGCACTGGCTCCTTTTATTCTTGCATCCCTGGGATACCTAAATCCTCTTGACAATACTCTTTCTTGGATAATTTTGTAGGCACAGTCTAGAGTTTCCTAACCTAGACCCCATAGGCTGCCCATGGAGACTTGGTTTCTGTTTGAGGCTGAAGTTCCCGTCAGGGCTGAGTATGGTGGTGCGTAGTGCATACCTGTAATCCTGGCACTTAGGCGATGGAAGTAGGATGACCAAGGATTGACATTCTGTCTCAAGAAAACCAAACCAAACCCAGTAAAACAAACGACCAAGACGTTCCCATCAAGACTTGGACAGCACAGGGGTGAAGCCAGGCAGGCCTACCAGAGTGACGAGATGGGTCTATTCGTTGGGAAGGGAGGGTAGAGATGGGAGGGACAGAGGCCAAAGAGGGAGATGCCCATGGTGGAAAATAGGTGGTGTGAAGTTTGAGGAGATGGGAAGAATCAGCCAAATGTCTTTCCTTCTATGAACTGAGGGATCAGGAGAAGAAACAGGGCAGTTGTTTGAGGTCCCAAGGGGTGGGGCAGCTGGAGAGGATGGGGGAACATGGCCAAGAAAAGTAAAAGACAGAGAAGACTTGAAAAAGCAATGTCTTCTTTCCAGCTCTAGCATTATTTTGAATCTATTTTTCCCAAGTTTTAGGTGGGTTTCTTGATTGTTTTGATTTGTTTTAAAGATAGCGTCTCTTGTAGCCTATACTAGCTTTGAAATCATTGTGTAGATGAGGGTAATCTTGAACTTCTGCTCCTCCTGCTTCGACCATCAGAGTGCCGGGATTACAAGTGTACACCACCACGCTGGGCTCCATATCTCCGTTTAAGATAGACAAGGAATAGATCTGAAAATGAGAAAGGTTAAATAAGGCTAAGAGAAAAGACAAGAGAGATTGAAGAAGAAAAGGAGGAAGGAAATTGGAGGGGTGAACATTTTGTTTGTGATTGGTATATACATTTAAATAAAGGTTTCATATTGATCAAATCGTTCTTGTCTGGGTGCCTCTATAAAAATCAGTGGATAAGAGTACTCAGTGGATAAGAGTACTGGCTACTCTTCTACAAGACCTGAGTTCAGTTTCCAGCATCCACATGGCACTAACAACCATCTGTAACCCCAGACCCTCTGTAACTCTCTTCTGGCCTCTGTGGGCATCGCACACATGTGGCACACTTACATAATGCAGGCAGAACATCCATACACATAAAATAAAAATAAATTAATTAATTAAATTGTAAAAAAGATTATATGTGAACTTAATTTATTTTAGTAAATAAAAGCAACCATGTATTGAATGCTTAAAAAAATTGAAGAGTTGGGGCTGGAGAGATGGCTCAGCGGTTAAGAACAGTGATTGTTCTTGCAGAAGACCTGGGTTTGAATCCCAGCACCCACATGACAGCTAACAACTGTCCATAACTCCAGTTCCAGAGGATCTGATGGCCTCTTTTGTCCTCCACGAGCATTGCACGACACGGTTGTACTTACCTACATGCAGGCAATACACACACATAAAAATAAAAATAATAAATAAAAATTTTTTTAAATTAAAAAGTTGTTGGGTGTTATACAGAAGAAACACACACTATAAAGGCAGTGATTGGGAATGAAGGGGGAGAGATTCAGGTAAAACAAGTGCTGTTCTTATTCTCTGTTCACCTACTCCCTTCCTAGCTACTTATCAGAGGCCTTCTCTTCCCAGTTCAAAGTCTGATCTCCTCCAGGAAGTTGCTGGGGATCCCTTCACCCCAACACACACTATATGGCCTTGTAGTTTGTTCCTCAGTCTAATACAGCACTTTGTGTCATCTGCCTAATATTTTCGTGATTTTTCAGATGTGCATCTCTATGAGACCATGGATCATGTAGAAGACCTGTTGTTTTAGTTTTCTTTCTGTTGCTGTGATAAAACACTGATCAAAAACAACTTGAGGAGGAAAGGGTCTATTTGGCTTGTAGACTGTAATCCATCACTGAGGGAAGCCAAGACAGGAACTCACAGCAGGAAGCTGGAGGCAGGACTAACAGAGACCACGGAGGAATGCTGCTTACTGGTTTGCTCAGCTACTGTTCTTATACATCCCAGGCCCACCTGCCCAGGGATGGCACCACCCGAAGTGGGCTGGGCTCTCCTGCAGCAACCAGCAATCGAGAACATGCCCCACAGGCTAGTCTGAAGGAGGAAATTCCTCAGTTGAGATTTGCTCTTAGCAAGTGACTCCAGTTTGTGTCAAGTTGGCAAAAAATTACTAGCATGTGTTTTTACACATTTTACACAAGTATGACTGTCCTTTGCATGGCACAGATGTTTGTTGAAGCAAAGTAGAGGAGGACAGTGAGTGGACAGGAAAACTGAACAAAGGTGAGAAATTTTAAGAGGTGGATGGATTTTTTCAAAAAGGGCTTCCAGGGCTGGTGGGATGGCTCAGGGGTAAAAGCTCATACTCCTAAGCCTGACAGCATGAGTTCAATCCCCAGAATCCACATGGTGGGAGGAAAGAATCAGCTCTTACAAGTTTTCCTCTGCTCTCCACACATGTGCTGTGGGTGTGCATGTGCACACACACATACAATAAATTAAAATGTAATAAATTCTTTTTAAATTTTATGTATATGAGTGTATTGCCTGCATGTAGGTAGGTACACCCATGTCATGCAGTGCCCTCAGAGGTCAGATCCCTTGGAGCTGGAGTTGAGGATGATTGTTAGCCATCATGTGGGCACTGGGAATCAAACCCAGGTCCTCTGCAAGAGCAGTCAGTGCTCTTAACTGCTGAACCATCTCTTCAGCCCCCATAAATTTTTTTTTCTTAAGACTTCCAAGAGCTGGGTATGGTGGTACACACCTTTAATCCCAGGACTTTGGGAGGCATAGGCAGGCACATCTTTATGAGTTCAATGCCAACCTGCTCTACATAGAGAACTTCAGGCCAGTCAGGGCTATATATGGAAAATTTGTCTTAAAAAAAAAAAGGCTTCTAAAGATTGAAAAGACATCAGAGACATGTCAGTGTAGACATTATACTCCTCCAAAGGCCACTGAGCCTCAATGCCACTGATCAACAATTATGGGAATAGGCTACATAGAGAGGAAACAGTGACAGAGGAGGAAGAGAAGTTGAGAGGCAGAGGGAGAAAAAGAAGACAGGGTAACGGAACACACATGACACAAAAGTAGAAAGGGATGACTATTAGGGGAGAAAGAGACCAGTAAGACAGAGACAGGGGTTTGGGGCCAGGCAGTGGGGCACAGGGATAAACAAGTATATAATAGAATGCCATGTATGTATGAAAATATCATAATGAAATCCATTACTTTGAATGATAACATAAAAATACATTTTAAAACTGAGTGGTCCTACAGGATTTGGAGCAATGGAGCTGGAACTAACCTGGAAACCACCTCCCCCAGGTCTCATAGCTTTGGAGAGTACTATGCAAGGTGCTAAGGGACCATCAATCAATGGTCCAAGCCCAGCTTCAAGGTCTAAAAATCACATCAATGACCAGCACAACAAATGACATTGGTGCAGTAGTGGCACTTTTATCTTGGGGGTAATCAACAGCTGCCTAATGGGACTTAAAGCCTGCTCAATGGGAGAAAACTCATGTGCAGTACTATAAACCCATAGATCTTAGAGAAAACCCCAAGGCTGTCATCCCTAAACCAATGTCTTTTTTTTTTTTTATTTTTGAGACAGGGTCTCCCTGTAGCCCCAGCTGTCCTGGAACTCACTATGTAGACCAGGCTGGTCTTGAACTCACAGAGATCTGCCTGCCTCTGCCTCCTGAGTGCTGGGATTAAAGGCATATGCCACCACGCCTGGTGTAATTTCTTTCTAAATATTTTATTTATTATTTTTATTTTATGTGTATGAGTGTATTGCCTGCATGCAGGTAAGTGCACCAGCATGATGCAATGCCTGTGGAGGACAGAAGAGGCTGTAGGATCCCCTGGAACTGGAGTTATGGATAGTCGTTAGCTACCATGTGGGTGCTGGAATTCAAACCCGGGTCTTCTGCAAAAACAACCAATGTTCTTAACCACTGAGCCATCTCTCTAGCCCTGAGTAAACCTCTTTATTGTGCTGAATATATCAAACTAGGTCTTGAAATATTTTGAAACTCTAGCAGAGAAAAAGGTTGGTGATTATATTGCTTATTTATTTATTTATTTATTTGGTGTATGAGTGTATTGCCTGCATGTATGTGAGTGCACCCGTGTTGTGCAATGCCTCTGAGGTCAGAAGAGGACTTCAGATTCCCCTAGAACTGGAGTTAAGGATGCATTTTCTTAACATGTGCAAAATATGGACTCTTAATTTTACAGAGAAGTATCCCAGTCACCACCCATCAAAGAACCTTCTTTTCAACAGAGATTATTACAGAGTTCCCCAAATGGTCACACACAGAGATTCTCTGTGACTTGCCCAAGCCTAAGTGGCACATCTAGGATGTAACCTCTCCACCTAAGGCTCACAGAATGTAGAACAAGGGATGAAGAGAACACTAATGCATCTTTCAATTCTCATCAATAAAGCTCCCTCATGCAACAGAGGGCCAGGAACACAAAAGGTCACAAATGGCTGAAACGTAGAGAATAAGAGTCTACAGAGTGTGGGTCCTTAGACAGGACTCCTATATTAAAATCCACCCACTGAGGGCTCAGGGACCATTTTGGAAGAGGGGGCAGAAAGATTGGAAGAGCCAGGGAGGAGGTACATGACCATATGGAAATAGTCCTACAGGCTCCTGGGACCCTTCTCATACAAACCTACAGTAATGGTGTCAGCATGCACAAGACTGGAACAAACTCAAGCAGACAAAAACCCAGCACAGAGCTGTGGAAATGGACAGCAGACCCCAATCTTAGTAGAAGAATTATTGGCAGCTGATTACTGCTGGGTGAGGAAGAGCTGATCTTCTTAAAGGGAAGGATTCTAGATAGGCTGACTATACCTCAGTGTATGAACCCGCACTGAGGGACATCTGGGGACACTAACTTGACATGATAGGCCTTAACACGGATGACAGAATATATGAATTCAAGTGGGGGGGCTATGGGAGGAGGCCAATGGGGAAGGGATATAAAGATGATTAAGATACTCTGTATGAAATACACAAAAATTCAATAAAAAAAATTTAAAAAAAGCCAGGTGTGGTGGTGCATGCCTGGAGGCAGAGGCAGGAGGATCTCTGTGAGTTCAGGGCCAGCCTGGTCTACATAGTAAGTTCCAGCAAAAACACCAAAAAAAAAAAAGTGAGTGGTCCTAAGCTCTTGACAATAAGGAAAATATGACTCTAAATGGATTCAAGGTGCAGGAAAATGGCAGTGCGTCTCTTTGGCTCTGAATAGTTGTCAAAACTCTTGATTCAATCAATGATTATAATCTAAGGAAAAGCTTCAACTCAAGGAAGTGGCTGGCTTGGAAGGCAGGGCTTAGATAAGCAAATGTTGGCAATGTGTCCATGGGAAAAAGAAGCTGCGTTTGCACTTTGAGACCATCTTGTTAGCTGAAAGGTTTTCTCTGTCTCAGTCAAAGATACAGTTTATCTGTTTTCTCCAAATCTCAGCTGAAATGTCCTTTAGGGTTCAGGCAGTGATTTTCTGACTAAATCAGAATCTCTGGAATTGGGTCCAATTTTTTATTTTGTTTTGTTCTGGGTAGTCATAGCTGCCCTGGAACTCACTGTGTAGATCAGGTTGGCCATAAACATGCAGTAATTCTCCTGTTTCTGCCTCTTTGCTTGATTACAGGCATGTAATTATGCCTGTCAAAATTTTAATTTATATACATGTAATTCAGGTGTGGCAGGTGCATTCCATTGTTTTGGAGTAAGCTTCTAGACTATGCCTCAACAGACCAGGCTAAAAATGAAAATGGAAGCTGCGTGTGGTGGGTCATGCCTATAATCCCACAGCACTAGAGACACAGAGGCAGAAAGAGCACTGCAAATTTAAGGTAAACGTTGCTTGCATCTCGAGTTTCAGGCCAGCCAGGACTAAGATCTTGTCTCAAACTGTATGTGGGGGTGCTCGCCTTTAATCCTAGGACTCAGGAGGCAGTGGCAGGCAGAGCTCTGTGAGTTTGAGGCCGACCTGGGCTACATAGCCAGTTCCAGGACAGCTAGGGCTGTATAAGTGAGACCCTGTCTCAAAAAACAGAAAACAAAGCAAAACAGAACAACAAAAAAGCAAAACTGACCTACCAAACAAACAAAAAAAGGAGTCTTTCGGGTTAGAAGCTCCATGTCACCAAGTCAAAATAAAGCCGTTCATCTGATCTTCTGAGAAATTAAGGTTAGAGGAATGACTGCCAAAGTTCACAAGCAACTCTGTTTCAATTGCCAGGATAGTGAAGATTTCTTGCTTTAACTCTTACACAAAATAAGATACTGAAATTACTTGTTGTTAACCAATCAACTATTTTTCTAATATTCTGTTCCCCTGTCCAACCATTATGAGGAAAGTAACTTCAAAATGACAATTCGCCTTTTAATGTTTTGTTTCTACTTTCTTCAACCCTTTCTCTGCCTTTAAAATTCATCTCTTGGTGCACTCACACACATGCAGGCAACACACTCAGACACATAAAATAAAAATAATAAATAAAATATTTTTTTTAAAATCCATCTCTTTTGCTTAGCCTATAGGAACACATATTTTATGAAATGAAATGTTTCTCAATTCTAGAATCACGGATAAAGCCAATTAAAAATTTGAAGGGCTAAGGATGTAGTACGGTAATAGTGTGCCTGAATGCATGTTGGATCCACACCACCACCACCACCCAAAAGAAGGACGGTCCTAAGTGGGCAGAGCACTTCTACAGTGAGGGACATTCTTGTACTTCCAACTTTGGATAAGTCTACCAGTCATTCATATAGGTAAAAACCCACTACAATTAAGATTTTTTTTTTTTTAATTTAGAGAGAGACATTCTCCCTAAGTAGCCTAGTCTGGAACTTGTGATCCTCCTGCCTCAGCCTCTGAAATAGTTGGAATTTTAGGGGTGTGCTACTTCACCTGGCTAATGGTATTTTTAATATACACAAGACTTTTGAGATGTGCAAGTACTCTGAAAATCATGGGGTGAACATGCGTTATTGTATTTGAAAATTTGTAAAAAGTTACACATTATTCTGGAAAGTCATGGCAAATCCCTGACTCTGTCCATGATATGTGGCCACCATTTGGATTATCTTTTGTCGCTGGGACAAAATAACTGGGATAATAAATGTCTTTAAGTGTTGTTTTCAATTTATAAGACAGGGTCTTGATGTGCGACCCTGGCTGGCCTGTTACTTGCTTTGTAGACCAGACTGGCCTCCCAATTATTCCCTTCAAGGACACACTCCCAGTGGCCTAACTTCCTTCTACTAGCTCTCACTTTCCTTAAAAAAAATTATTTTATTAGCCAGGCGTGGTGGCGCACGCCTGTAGTCCCAGCACTTGGGAGGCAGAGGCAGGTGGATCTCTGTGAGTTCAAGGCCAGCCTGGTCTACATAGTGAGTTCCAGGACAGCTGGGGCTTACAGGGAGACCCTGCTTCAAAAAGACCACATTTTTTTTTAATTTATTAATGTGTATGAATGTATTGCCTGCATGTATGTAAGTGCACCCAAGTCGTTCAATGCCCATGGAGGTCAGAAGAGGGCCTTGATCCCCTGGAACTGGAGTTACCCACGGTTGTTAACCACCATGTGAGTGCTGGGAATCGAACCCCAGTCCTCTGCAAGAGCAGCCACTAGCTCTCACTTTCTATAAGTTCCACCACTTTCCAACAGCTGGCACAGGCTGGCAACCGTTCTTTCAGCATATAAGCCTTTGGGGCACATTTAAGATCCAAATTATATTAGTATTATGACTGTACTGGGCTGGCATGTAGCTCAGTTTGTAAACTGCCTGCCTAGTCCAGAGTTTGAACTCCAAAACTACATAAAACCGGGTGTGGTCGTTCAAGCCAGCAGCTTTTGAGAGGGAGCCATCTGCCCGAGGCCTGAAGCCCCGCCCACCCGGAGGCCCCGCCCCATCCCGTCCCGAGGCCCCGCCCCGCGGCCCGGA